TATTTAAAGCAGAACATTGTCGTTGCTATGGAAACGACGTGGTAGAAATTCATGTTTTTAGAAAATATATAGCATTTCTGTATCTAAACGCAATTAAAACTTAGGTCATATTTAAGTACTCAAAATGTAAAAGTCTATAATCACTTTCAATCAATCAGGGTCGCTTTTTAAAGAAAATTGTCATCCCTGGCCCAAAGTTTGCTATGACAACACCATAATGTAAACAATAAAGTGGGTATGCTTTGCTTACAAACTCAATAATATAAAATGTGAGTGGGCAATTTTCATCGTAAATGGATCCTCTCCCCTTAGACAAATGCTATTCCACTTTCGTCTTATGTCTTTGTCCAAACTTATGTTTGATTTTGTAATCCACATGACTCAATTACCTTCATTTGCTGTTCGCCATTAAGTTTGTGGTGGGTGAAATTGCTAGAAACGTTGTCATGACAAAGAGTTTTTTCTTCAGAATCTATGGAAAAATGAAGGGGACCTCAAGGATATTTTTGTAATTAGTCGAGTGATTCAACTTCCTTAATGACAATGGGTAACTGGTTTCACATATTCCATAAATTTGCAGCAAACGAGTTAAAGACATATCTCCTAAACCACAGTACACATTCAAGAGAAAACTGTACAAAGAGAATAGTGGGTGAAAGAACTGAACAATGCCAGGTCAGATGTCACCTAACCAGGCAACCACTCCAATTAGGCTGTCTGATACACGAAATTTTTTGTTTTCTTTGATGCCATGCAGATTTGGAAATGGTGAGCCAAGGAAAGTGCGTGAAATTACTCCTGTTATGGATCATCCTGATGGCCTTGGTTACAGAGAACGAGGGTAAGTAGGTTGACCGATTACCCCCAAAACTGTATGTGGTCACGCTTCCAAGTGTTTTTCCATGATTTGAAGGTATTACCATGTTTACCATACCATAACATACAGATGAAGTCCAAACATGCTATAGTTTTTGCAAATATTTCGCAGAATTAAATGAATACACAATTGAACCACTAACACATCTTGATATTGGTAACCGCCAAAGAAGAGGATAATAACAAATGTACATGACCCAGGATCGTGGTATACAAATAAAAGTATATGTTCCTCGGGCAGGGTAACATAAATAGTACATAATAGTGAGCTGGAAAATGAAACAGAATCAGACATAGATTCCTTACTTAGGTTCATAGATACAAAACAAAACATTTCCAAAACCAGCTGGACATATATAATTTGTTTAATAATTTGATAAACGAACATAACGACAACATATATTAGATCAGCAACGAGGTAATTTTCTACTTTGGAGGGCATTGGGGGTAATTCGTGGCATCTCTTCTAAAACTCTTGCAAAGATACGTTGAATAAAGATAGGGGTGGATGCCACGCGCAATTTTTTTTATTTTTGTATATAGTACTAAATAGGTTATTATTGACTCCCAATTTGAAAGAATGGAAACAAATCATGATTTTCTCTATTTTGTGACCAAATATCAATTATCCAATAAAGACTTTTAAATCTTTATCATCTTTATTATGAGTTTGAAGTAGTAAACTTGTTCCAAGTACATTTGAAAATTGGATATTACATATATATGTATTGCGCAATGAAACATAAAAATGGTTATGGTTCAGTGGCAAAGCAATGGCCTCGTAACTATGAGGCCCCAGGATAAAAAACGTGTCGATGTGCCATATTAGGGCCCTTTTTAGGGGCTCTAATCCTCATTACTGTCGTTTATAACTTAAGGGCGTAGGTCCCCTAGTTGATAAGCATAATAGCATACAGGCACGGATCCACGGGGGGGGGGCCCGACGGGCCCGGCCCCCCCCCCCCTCCTCCCTGGCTTTTTTAAATAAAAAAAAAGTTTTCAGGGTCAAATACAAAAAATAAATGATGCATACTCCCCCCCCCCCCACTGAGCGAGATATTGGTAGGCTCTATTTTTACATTTTCGGGGTCATATACCCCCCCCCCCCCACTGAGCGAGATATTGGTCGGCGCGATTTTCACATTTTAGGCCCCCCCCCCCCCCCTATCGGCAAATCCTGGATCCGCCCCTGGTAGCATACCCATGTTTTAGCAGTCACGCAAAACAAACACTGGCAAATTATTATTCAATAAAATCTGAGAATGTATATCTAGTTTCTAGATCTATTAGGAATAAATCATTGTCAAAATTATTCTATAAATTGGGGTAAAAATATATTCCAACTATATGAGCGACAGTGTTCAAACAATAAAACACGGGCCGACCGTAATAAGGATGAATATTAAATTGAATCCATAATTATTATCTCATCATTTCTTTTCTCTGTGTGGCATTACAACATATAGTATTTTAATGATTTTTTAAACTCCAATTAGTATCTTTCATCATTGGTTAAAATCGTGTAACTATTTTAAATTTAAGTGTTTATCCAAACATTATCTCCAAACCTCATTAAATGTAGATTTACTGCCAATTAATCTGATTTCGGAACACCCGCGTAAATATAATGTGCTATTGTTCTGCGTTAAATTATTTCGATTACCGCACCTACATTTCTCCCTCTTCTTCTATTTCAAGCTTTATCTCGTCTGCCCTTTTTATTTACCATTTCCTTGTTGGGTTTTTGTGCAATATTATTCCTATTATGTATGTTACTGTACATATTACTGTATCTATTAGAACCACTGTTTAGAATGTATGGTTTTTAATCAATAAATTCAATTCAATTTAATTCAAACGACAAATGGCATGAAATAGTTTTCTTGAGACTTTTTTTTATATTTGGCTGGTCTACTAATAATCATAATTCATGATTTTCACAATCCATGTGATTACAATATAATACATTACATATTTTGAAATTATTTCCGTACAACCCAGTTATTTCATGAACCTTAAACAAGAAAATGCATTGCTTTTTGCTGGATAAATTAAATTACTTTTTAAAATTTCATTTTCATTTTTTGCAGCATAAAATTATAAAGAATTGAAGTAATGAATCTTGCCTTTGTAAAACATCCCATCTGCTCCCATACCCTCCCCTTCCCTTCCATCTCCTTTAAGTTTAACTCGTCCATTCCCTCCTATTCTACTTGTGGGGATAAGGAATACACTTCGGGAGAGGATTCTTTACTACCGAAATCACTAAGATGTCGCCATTGCTCGACCCACCTCTAGCCTCCCTCGCCCTCCCTATATCTTTCTAGCTTGTTTATTTTCTTACATACAGGGGATTTTTTTCTTCTCATCAATGCCTAATTCTTTTCCTCCAATACATCTTCCTTGAACTTGAGTTCAATTTCATCTAAGGTTATTACTCCGTTTTCCCCATACAAATTAAAACAGTTTCGATTGTTAGAAAATTATTAAAGAATTGTTCGCTTTCTTCATCACTTAATTTCATGAAGAAAAGAAATCCTCCAAACTAAGATTAGTTATGGATACGAAGTCACTTTTATCATTACAGTCGTTCCAAATCAAACAAACTTTTTTTTCACATTCAGACAATAATGACGATACGTCTCTTCTTCCTTTTTGCAGAAGCAACGTACAATTGTTTTTACATTGTACAAAAGTTAAGTTATAGTTGATTTCATGTGTTAGCCATCCTTGGTAAACACAAACATAACAATCTATTGAGCAAGATATAGCCAACTCTGTTTCGATCGTACACCCCTGATGTGCGCCTTTTGTTGTGTTCTTGGTTAACAAAGAAACATGCAGCATATTGCGTCCAACTTGAATCTAGCTGACTAAACTATGTTCATAAAAAGTAAAGACATAGAGAAACAACTTATAAGAGCACCCTCTGGTCATTGCCCAGACTGAACTTACATAAGGAAGATTAGGTGTAAAAAATAATATCGGCTTCTGGATATAACCTTCGGTCTTCTATCAAAAACCATTTTCTACGTTGCCGACATGCAGCCTCTGTAGTACGTTTCTAACTCACCCTCAATCTTTCCCTTTATTTTTCAACCTCTCTTTGTTTCTGTCCCTTTCTGAATCTCCCATCCTCCACTCCTTTCCCCTTCTCTGCTCTTTTTTTGTTGGTGGTATTTCCACCTTGTGTTACCTCACGACAAATATGACGAGTTTCGTTCTAGACGGGGTTAATGTTTAATCTACCACTTTCCCTTGGCAGTGATCACTTCTTCTTTTTCTTCTTCATGTTTTGTGGTGGGGGTATAGTGTTACATCATTTTGATTATCTTGACTAAAAAATCTAGCAATGAATTTTTTTTTTAAATAATTCTATTTTTTGTGGATTTAGCGTCTATTTGAATATAAATTGCCATTTTTGTTTTTGGGTAGGCCTACATGGCCCTGGTTCACTCCCTATCCAATGCGAAACACATTAAAACTGCTAGCTGAACACTTTTTATCATGTTTTTCGAATGAGTATGGTTCATTGGAGAAAAAAATCTCTCTTTAAACAGCGCTTTCGAGTGTTTAATTCTTAAAGGAGCAAGTCCGAAAATATGTTGATTTATTGAAAATGTACACAAACCTTCTAGACCGGTACCTGCACTGTATCAACAAAAATATAAAAACTTACCGTGGTTTAAAAGACAAAGGGTATTTAACTCCTTTTGGAATGAAACGATTTTGTAATTACTGTTTTTTTTAATGCATCATAGTGCAGTTGATTCTAATGTAGCAGATGCCCATATTCATCTTAATAAATAAATCAATTTTGATTATAAAATAAAATTCTTTCTTTAATCAGAGGGCGGCCTTGTATGATATTGCTCATGGGCATTTAGTTATTTCGTCAGCTCGGGTCAAGTCGGACAGAATATGGCGCATGTTTTAAACATAATTGGTTTAATATAGGTGTTTTGATACGAGTTAAAGTCTGTACAATTAAAGTACTTTCCAACTTACCAAAAATACATAATACTTATCGTAATCTCCTGCATACAGTATTTTCAAGAGTAAGTTTTTCTTATATTCCGAGTAAAGCATTATCTCTGCTTCTTTTTTCCGTCCTTTACACACTAGCCTGGTGGAGACGCCGACGCCGACGTCGAAGTAGTCCACCTCCAGGTAAGCCTAAATTGTTTTAAATTATTATTGATATATCTTAATGCAAGTCATTACTGCTATGTGTATAGTAGTCAGCGTCGTAGAAATGTTACGTTTGATTCATATATACATGTATTTTGTATTATCTTCTATTTGAAACGGGAAAAGGGTATCTATCTTTCGTATTGCCAGTGTGAGTCAAAAAAAATTCACACCTAGAAAATTGCTAATTATTTCATAAATCATCTATGAACAGTAAATTATTATACATCCTATGAAAGAGTTTTTTTTATCCCGAATCATTTAGTATCATTTTTGTGTGGTATGTGTTAACACTTGGATGAACAGGAGGCATTGTTTGCGAGAGTGCAAAAATCGACTTGCGCCAAATTTGCTTATGTGATGGTTGAATAAAACAATTGGGTTTGGGTATTAATTCGGTCATTGCAGATCCAAATAACATCCCTAACAAAATTAATCATGCCACACATATCAAATATCGAATTTCAAATATCAACGAACATTTGTGCGCGAGCGCGTGTGTGTGTGAGACTTTGCTTCTGCAAAAAGCATAGTCAATGCATCTCATTTGATACATTCGTATCATTCTCTCACTTTAATCCAAACATATTACATAATGTAGGCATCTGTTTGGCGCAAGTCGATTTTTGCACTCTCGCAAACAATGCATCCTGTTCATCCAAGCGCGAACACATACCACACAAAAATGATACCAAATGATTTGGGATAAAACGCTCTTTCATAAGATGTATAATAATTGACTGTTCATACATGATTTTTAAAATAATTAGCAATTTTCTAGGTGTAAACTGTTTTTTTGACTCACACGGTAGATACAAAAAATGAAATTTCTTGACTATTCATGAAAATTAAACTCTGAAGAATAAAAGGTAAATTCTAGATTTCCGCAATACTTTTGAAAGAACGGGAGTTCAATAATACTGTTTCGTGCTGGAGCTTATTATAAAATATAAATTGGACACTATAAGCAAAGCATAATAGAGTCCTTGTGATATCCAATTTCGGTTCCAAAAAATAGATACAACGAATCCCACATTCACGAGTTGTCCTGGAAACATCGGAAACCAGTACACTACCGGTGCATCTCGGAGAGTGACCTGGGCTACACCCACAGCTACAGATAACAGAGGATCTGTAACAGTCTCGTAAGTACTTTGTTGTTCAATATAAAATACTACACCGTGCATCCAAGAAAAAAAAACGAAAACAAAAGCATGATGCAAATAAACTATGAGTTGTATGATTACTTGCTTTTCACAGAGTAGAAGTAATATGCTTTCAAAAAATGATACATTGATGACTTTCATCTATTCACGCTTCACTAAGCAACATTGCTTTGAAAATGGCATGAAATGGTACTTTTTCAGTGGTCTATAAATATAATCTTACATTTTGATAAAATGTTAGGTTGTACGCCCCTGTAATCCCGGAAATGGGTATTTGCCTCTATTTTTTTAGTAACTGCTTATTTTAAATGCACATCATCACACAGTGGAAATCTATAGCGTAATCATCTTTTAAAGGCCATCTGTACTAGTATAGAGGGGAGATTAGACAACCCTGCAAGGTCACTGGGCAGGTGGTTATCTCATCAACTCAGCTCTCAAATAACATAAGAAAAAGAGGATCATGGGGGGACCAATGGTCACCGATTAGGCATTGTTTGTTATATAGAGGACGCAAGTAGCTACAAGTAGTGCAATATGGCTTTAAAGCTTACGTTTATCTAACGTTAAAGGGATAGTTGAGTTCTGTTGCAGAGGGCGATACACAAAATAATTTTTTGTGAGATAATAAAAAACTGAGTGTTAAATTTGAAAGAACATACAATTTAAATGACAGCTGAAATATCCATAAATATAACGATTTATAAAACTTGTGTACCACCACAAATATTAGATTATTTGAAAAAGCCGTTGATAAAACGAAATAGCGCCTTTTACGTCGTATTACAGCCAATGCCGATGTGGGCTCTCTTGTTGGCATTTTCGTGTTGGTTATATACGCACAACCAGCTGGCCCATGTATTGTTACTTTTAATTAAAATATTAATTAATGATCACCATATTTTTTGAAAGTGGAGCTGAATTGGTATGATCGTATTGGCTAAATTTCACACATTTTGGGGTCTAAAATGACCTTCATAGCAATGGTAGGTTCTAAAAGAGCACTAGAAATGTCATAGATAAGAATAAGAGCAATAACCATGCACTTTGAAGGCATTTGCGGTCTGAAAACAGAACTCAACTATCCTTTTAAGTTCGCATGTGATACATTTTCAAGGTGTGACTAATATCTGGCTCAAAAGATTTTTGACATGCCATATATATTCAGTGTTGCTCGGGGAAGCGTGTATGGATTAATGCAATCATAGCATTATTAATTATACATAATGACAAAAACAAGAAATCATTGTTTTATACAACTCATAGTTTTCTCACAATTTGCAGTCAGCTAGTGATAACGTGATGCCCTCATAAGCAGCTGATTTGTACAAACAGGCAATTTTTGGCTGTCGCTACCGTAGAGTAATACTAGTTTTAGTAGTAGTAGTAGTTGTTGTAATCACTGGCGCCTCATGGGGGAGGAAGCTTGGGGGAATTTGCCCCCCCCCCCCCACCACACCATAATATTTGAACGTTTTTTTTTTTTCTAATTCGATATCAGTAATTTACAAGGGTTGCTAAAATGAAATGATTTCCCGGGGTTTTTCTCAATTTTTTGTAATTTTTTTTTTTTTGCGTTTGTTGGAAAATGACAAATTCCCAACTTTATAGTCAGGCAAAAAAACGTAAAAGTGCCCCTTTTTACATGGGAAAGTACACCCCTTTTACTTCAGATAAGCGCCTCTTTTTTATATCGAAAATAGGTACCCATTCCACGTTCTTATAAGTGCCTCTAACCAACTCTTATACGTGCCCCTTTACCTCTGCTAATTGCCCAATTCAAATCTGAGAGGAGCCCAATTGACTTAAACAAGTGCCCTTTTTCTTTTGCTACAAGTGCCCCTTTCTCTTCAGATAAGTGCCCCTTTTTATATTTGATGAGTGCCCCTTATCACCTCTGATATGTGCCCCTTTTTTCTTCCTAATAACTGCCCCTGTTTCCTTCTGATAAATGCCCTTTTTTAAATGAAAGCCACCTCCCCTTATCGTAAATGCCCCTACTCACACCTGTAATAAATACCTCTAATAAGATCTCATAGATACTCCTTTTCCCACGACAAGTGCCAATTTTTCCCTGCCATAAGTTCATCTTTATTATCTTCCAAGTGCCCCTATTCATCTCAGGTGAGTGCTTCTTTTCAGGTACAAGAAGTGCTTCTTTTCAAATCTGATAAGTGCCCATTCACCTCTTATAATTGGCTTTTTCTTCAAATCTGAGAGGTGTCCCTATCATTTTGACACTGAGTGCTTCTTTTTATTATTATAAGTGTCCCTTTTTCAAATTTGATAGATGCCCCCTTTAAATTTGTAATAAGTGCCCCTTTTCATCTCTGATAAGCACCCCTGTTATTTTGACACGTGCCCCCTTATCCTTTTTTAATGAGTGCCATTTTAATTCTGATAACTGCCCTTAATTCTCCTTTGTAATAAGTGCCCCTTTTTCGTTCTCATAAGTGCCTTTTAAAAAATCTCTGTTGAATGAAATCGGACAAGACAAATTCGACTATAACTGCAGATCCTATATGCCTCCGCCCAGTACGGGAAATGGATGGAATTATTCGTGATATATCACAATGAAAACAAAAATCGCGTAGTGAATTTTTTGTGTCTCGTGAGAAATCGCAAATATGAAGCAAGGTTTCTTTTACCCTGGTCCCCAACATAAAAAAAAATCCTCTGTACGGCCATGCATTATGGCTCAAGGCATGGGCACATAGAAGATTTTTTTTTTCTGTTTGGGACCGGGGGAAATTCAATGAATTATTGATAATTTATTGCATTTTCTTTGTTTTTTATTTTTTATTTATGGGAACTGCCCCCTACCCTAGCCCCTGCTGTGTACAGTCATGGTTCAGTGGCAAAGCAATGACCTCGTAACTGTGAGGCCCCAGGATCACAACCGTGTCGATGTGCTATATTAGTGCCCTTTTGTGGGGCATTAATCCTCATTACTGTCATTTAGTCATTTATGACTTAAGGGCGTAGGTCCCCTAGTTGATAAGCATATTGGCATACACATGCTTTAGCAGTCACGCAAAACAAACACTGGCATATCATTATTTAATAAAATCTGAGAATGTATACTATTATTTAGATCTATAAGAAATAAATCATTGTCAAAATAATTCCATAAATTGGGGTAAAACAAAATATTCCAACGTTAAAAGCGACAGTGTATATACCCTTATAAAAAAAAAACCATGGTATAGCATATTATTATGAGTCCTCTAAAGAGAATAAACCCTCTTTGAGTCGTACACTTTTGTTTTTTGATGGCAATTTTAGTCATTTTGTGTTTTGGAACAAATGGGAAAGTTGTCCGCCACTACATCACAGAGACATTAAAGGGCAAGTCCACTCCAAATATAACTTACTTTTAAAGACCGTCAATACTACTGGGCCAAAAGGGATTAGACCACATACCAAAGTCACTGACAGGTGGCTATATCATTAACTCAGCTCTCGACTAACATAAGACAAAGACGATCATGGGGGACCAACAGGCACCGATTGGGAAGTTTTCTATATAGAGGGAGCAAGTAGCTACAAGTAGGACAGTGGGGCTTTTAATAGAAGCAGAAAATCAGACAAACCTATAAAAAAAAAGTTTAAGCGAAATCGGATAACTAATAAGAAAGTTATGAATTTTTAATGACATGAAAACCTTTGAAAATCACAAGACAAATTGGCAACTCACTCGTGAGTCTGTGACGTCATTTCCTCAATATCCACTAATTGTTTTCTTTACAACTATAGTGATTACAACTTTTACAAAATTATAACTTTCTCAATATTTAACTTCCCCAGTCTACTCCTCTGACTTTTCTGCTTTCATCAAAAGTAGTTTGCGATCAAGGTTGGATTTCCCTCATACAAATCTAGTTAAGGGCTTGTCATTTTTTTAAATGTTGTAATTCCTCCTTCTTCTCTTACCTATGGTATAACAGAAGAATATCCGGTCCGAGCTCTGGATCTACATTCAGTGTATCAACCACTCGATACACCATTCAATACCGAGCCACAGACGGTGCTGGAAATTATGCCACGTGCTCTATCACTTTCACGGTCTGTGGTAGGTAATAAGGGCTTCCCGGCTCTGATCTGTCAGTTCTTTAATCTACTACTCAAAACATCTATTTATTCACACTGTAATACTGTTTTAGTGAAATGTCCCTTCAAATATAACTAAATGTTGCGTACATTAAGCTTAGGTTTATCAAACTGTAATTCTAATATAATTTGAATAGAAATCTGCTTTATTGTATCAATTTTCGAGTCCCTTACACCATGAGTCTTGAGTCACGCAAACTAAATTTATTGACAAATTGAATTAATTTCTGTTTCTATTATGCCTTATGTCAATTTTCCTTTGTTTATTAAATTAATATCCAATGTACATGTACGTGATCTAAATGTTTATAAACAGTAGTTAAATCTATTTTTCCTGTTATATATGAGATGCCCATTTTTAACAATGCTTTCTGTTTAAAACTCAAAGTGCATAACTTTATGTTGTCGTATTATATACAGAAGCGGATCAAGAGGGGGGGTTGGGGGGTTGCAACCCCCCCCCCCCAAAAAAAAAAAAAATCCGGGGACCATTTTTTTAAATTTTATCCTTTTTTTTAAACTTGTAATTTTATTTTATTCTATTTCTATGTATTTATTGCATTTATTATTATTATTATTATTATTATTATTATTATTATTATTATTATTATTATTATTATTTCTTTTTGGGGGGAGGGGGGGTTGGGCGAACAAATGTCACAGAGTCCCTTGCCCCCCCCCCCCCCATCAGCTTTTTTGAGGACACGGGCCACCGCCGAAGTGACAAGCTAGGCCAGCGTTGCCGATTCTCATCCCCAAAATCCCCACATTAAAAAAAAAAAAAAAAAAAAAAGGAAAAAAAAAGGAAAAAAAAAAGGGGAAAAAAAAGAAAAAAAAAAAGAAAAAAAGAAAGAAAAAAGAACGCACGCTGGAGAGAAACCCTTTCAAGTGCAAATATTGTGAGAAGATATTCAACTCATCTGGTAACTTAACCAAACACATGATAACTCTGGATATAACTGTGTATTTAACTGTTACTTGATTTAAAAAGACGTTATCATGCACTGCTTTTTATGGTCTCCATTGTGTTAATAGATGCCAGGAAAACATCACTTACGGGGTTCAAATAAACACCCCAAAAAAATCGGTTCGCCGCTTCGCATCGTCATTATTGGTCAACCCCCCCCCCCCCCCCCTGAGCAAAAAGCTAGATCCGCCCCTGATATATATATATATATGTATATATATATTTATATATACATGAGCAATTGAGCATCATGCTTGACAGAACTAAGTGCTTATTATAAGGAAGCATCATTATATATCTAATATTATTACAGTAGTGTGTAAAAGCAAAGGACGTCAAATTGTCATAATAAATAATAAATAATAAGTTTCAAGCTGAAAATTGCCGAAATAATTCTAAAATTCATATATGTATAACGAAAATTATTAAAAAATATTGTTAGTAGTATACTGCATGTATAAAACAGCTGAAAAGTAAAGAGACGCCATGCATGCAAATTCTCATGAAATAGGTTTGAAGCTGAAATTAATTGCCGAAATAATGCATACATATGTATATCGAAATTATTTGACAATTAAGTTGGGGTCCGTTGCTTCGTTAATACAATCATAGTTATTATAATGCTTTGAACAGGCGCGTACGCAGGATTTTTTCAAGGGGGGGGGGGGGTAACATTTTTAAATCGGGCCGAAAATTTCGCAACGACTCAGCCAGCCGCTGAATAAGCGGAGAGGGGGGGGGCCGGGTTAAGAGGACACTTTTTTTGGTCCCAACAAAATCGCAACGACTCAGCTAGCCGCTGAATAAGCCGGGGGGGGGGGGGGGGGATAAGAGGACACTTTTTTGGGGGGGGGGGGGGGGTCTCAAAATTTGAAAATTTATCATTTTTCTTCGTTGGGGGGGGGGTAGGGTCACCTTTTTTTTTTTAAGTTTAAGCAATAAGATGCTCATGAAGAATTTGCACAAAGCTCATGATTCAAAACCGTGACTTACATCTCACATTTGTTTCCACTCAACACTTTACTAGATTATTATTAATGTTGAGCTATATATGGCTGACATGACACTCGGCCTGGATATCCACCGTAATTATACTCTATAGCTAGCCCTCTACTTCGACCAGGTTATTTCACTCAAAATTCTATCCATTCACAGGTATTCGCTGCGCTACGTTGGGAGCGCCTTCTAGTGGCAATGTAGGATGCACTAATACCAATTTCGTTTCATCAGTCTGTACGTTCTCCTGTGTCTCTGGGTATCGTCTTGTTGGCTCCGAAACAAGGACGTGCTATCGCTGGTCGAACACAGGTCTGTGGACAGGCTCCAACCCATTTTGTGAGCGTAAGTTTTGATGTGTGTGCGGTTTGTTTGGTGTGTGGAGGTGTGTTTGTACTGTATATTTGCAAATATGACATCACCATGTGTCGATCAAATGTGATAATTTACATCTACGACCGACCATGAACGACGGCATCTGAATTCCGAAAAGACTTCACTCATTTTCGATAATACGGAGTAAGTGCATGCATTGGCCATGGGTCGAAACAGATGCTGAGCGGGTGATGAGCATATCCCAGTGAAATGGCCTATAATTTGTAAAGTGTCCGGTATTATATGATATAGGTTGACGCATCCTCATACACTTTAGCTTGCAGCATCATTCCACTCCATGTATTAATGTCCCCCAGGTATTTTCGGCCTATTCCGAAAGGGTGGGTAGCATCTCTTGAACGCAACCATTCGTCCAAAGCCCCCCACCCCGGTTTTGCCGAAAGGGTGCATTGACTAGTCTTCCACATCAGTCGTTTATAATTTAAGGAATAGAAATTTAAGTCATTTAAATTCAAATAATCAAAATAGAAACAGATTAAAAATTAAATAAACTAGTTTTTACGTAGTCTTGCAGATCAGGCGTTTGTTAGAATTAAATCAATAAATAACGAGAAACACAATCAAATAATTTACTTTGAAAATAAACAATCTCAAATAAAGGTGTTTACCTAGTCTTCCATATCAGTTGTTTATTTATTAAAATAACAAAAATAAAATATATTTCTTAATTTCTATGTAAGGAATTCAGAACCCCCCTTCCCTAGACCTACTTTGTTATTTATTTATTTATTTGTTATTTCATTTGTAAAGACTTATGCATGACTAGTTTACATCAAAAAATGAATTCTATACATAAAAAGACATGGATATTATTCTTATTTGACATTTTTAAATATTTATTAAACTTATTAATTGATTTAATCTTTTATAAACGCCTGATATGCAAGACTACGTTTTTAATGTTTGATCTGTTTCTATTTTGATACTTTCAATTTGAACAACTAAAATTTCTAGTCCTTAAATTATATTATAACGACTGATGTGGAAGACTGGTCATCGCACCCTTTCGGCAAAACGGGGGGGGGGGGGGGGGCCTCTAGGACGAATGGTCGCGTTCCAGTCAACGCGACACTCCCAACCCACCCTTTCGGCAAAACTGGGGGGGGGGGGGGGTTGGACAAAAAAAATCCCCCACTCAGTGTGTTTTATTTAAGGTACGCGCATGCATGTCCCCTCTTTTTGAAAGCACCACCCCCCCCCCCCCCCTATCTCTGGTGTAAAGGTCAATGGAGGGAGGGCCGGACTCTGTCGCTCGATAAAGTACCATGCAGAGATTTTGGAAAGTGGAAACACGTGTGCGGTCCCTCCGACCTCGGAGTCGGGGGGAGGGGGCGCCTATGAGTTTTGTGTTACAGAGTTTGATATTAATTTAGGTATAGGCCTACACATTGTTAACGATGTAAATTTAGAGTATGAATTTCAACATCGATCATATCACGTAAAAATTATACTTGCTTTAATTCAAGGAGTCACATGTAATTCGTTGGATGACCCAACCAATGGTGCATGGAGCTGTATGGGTACTTCCTACTATGGCAGTTCATGTACCTTATCCTGCGACTATGGCTACACTCTTGAAGGCTCACAGCCAACACGGACCTGCTTGCAGAGTGGCCAATGGTCTGGAACTGAAGGCACCCTAGATTGTATCGGTAATATATAGATTCCAATAATTTTCATGTGTGTAGAATTCATAATATTTGTTTGTTCTACGTCGAACTCTTGCCTATGAATGACTTACAAGAACGACTTGCATGAAGATCTACAACACGCGCAAATTGCTTTAAAATGTACTACCGTATGTTCAAATAATCCTACTTTCATAGAAATTAACAACTAGAGTGCAATAATTACACCCATATCAGACAGCAAAAACATCTTTAAATATTCTTCTTTACAATGACACCAGTTTTGCACTGTTTTCGCTCAAAAGTAGAATGCAAATGCTAAATGCTAAAACATATGGGGCGCCAAGTGTAACATGTATGATATAAGTAAAAAAAAAAAAAAATCAATTTTGTCACCAAATTAATCCCACCATTTGATATTGTCACAAAAGCAATATCACCTATTGATGTTGTCACGACAGCAATATCACATCATTTTGTCACGAAATCACTCCCGAGACTGATTTTGTGGACAAAATCATTACAGGGAGTGAATTTGGCCATGGAATCAGTCTTGGGAGTGATTCTGTCAATCACAAGTCAATTAAGTGCGAGTGATGTCCACAGAATACATCACTCACGCCGTCACGGTTGTGATTCCGTGGACAGAATCACTCGCTGATGTGATTCCAATTGCAGATGTGATCGGATTAGGATAATATGGAGAATTTGTTGTCTCATTTAACTTAAGACAGTATTGTATCAAGGTTATTTATCATAATACTGTTAATCTCCAAATGAGCTTAGAAATGTTAGCGGGGTTAAGATTTTTTTTAAAAGAGACAAAATTTGAGTGGCTAGATTCAAAGCCGGTTTTATGATACAAAATTGAATTGAGTCTGAAATATGACATTATTCAGACATTAAGTGATAGGATGTTTAATATAAAAACATTGTTATATTAACAGCATAACGTACCCAATTTCTATTTCCTCATATATGAAGGAGGACGATTATGACTGATAATTTGCCTGATCTGATTAAAGCTGAATGTAAACGTACCTCACACTGATTTGCCATCGATATTTGATACTTTGCTGTATCGTTGGTTTACTTTTCTGATGCATATGGCACTTTCCATAATAACAATACTGCATGGTCCACATTCCTTACAGATAGCCTCGCGCCAACCATTACAGGATGTCCTTCATCACAGAGCGTTCTCGCACCACCTCTAGTAACATCTGCTATCGTGATGTGGGCTACGCCATCAGCAGCCGACAATTCCGGGGAGGCAGTCACTGTTGTCCTTGAACAGGGTTCTGCATCCGGGAGTACGTTTGAAGAAGGCGACCATCTTATTACATACTCTGCAACGGACAATGCACAGAATAAGGCAACGTGTCTGTTTACTGTGACGGTGGAAGGTAGGAAATGTATTACAAAGTGATCTACATCTAACAAATGTATCCAAAATTCCATTGACATCATACATGTATATAATATCAGGGACAATGTTCCCTGATAATACCATGTCAAGTACTACCACTGTTGAGGTCAGCCTCATTCTAGGGCAAAATATGTTCTCTGGGAAAAGTATACTAATAAGAAAGTCTAGTTTTTTCAGGAATATATATCGGCCTACATGTCCTTCATCTCTTTTACAAAGATTGTTATATTATAAATATAACAAGGACCATTACTTTAGACATATTTCAAACTTTGTTTCAAAGGGTGCATATTTTCGCTAAGATATCCAGCATATTCTATGACTTTGCAGTTGTAAATGGTTTGACAAAATTTATTAATTTTTCTGAAATCTGATGGGTTTATTGTTTAAAGTGGAAGTCCATACCTTCCTCAATGTTAGCATGTTGTGTTTAGGTAACCCAGTTATCAAAATGCAATATTTGAATTTCAGTCAAGCATAAAGTCGATTGGAATTCATGAGGACACGCCTGCCTATATTTATCTACAATCTATTGTGATAGTCATCGCACATTACACAATGTGATTTTGAGTTTGCTAATTACAGCTGAAATAAGTACAAAAAGAGTGATATTTTTCCATTATTTAAATTGCAAGACAAGATGAAACATTACTTTTATGTGGGTTAATGAATGAATTAACATTCTTCAAAGTATCTATACTTATACAGTATCTATTCTCTTGTCATCTTCTTTAGTTGTGTATTGTCCTGCCCTGGCTGCCCATCCACCTCTTCAGATTAGCTGCCCACAGAGTAACATCCGTGGTTCAGAGTGTACCTTTAGTTGCAGTACAGGATACAGTCTTCAGGGACAAGAGACCCAGCTATGTGTGCTGACGGGCTCAACGGGAATGTGGAACAGCATAACACCGTCTTGTCAAAGTACGTAGGAATTTCATTGTTTAGGTTGAAAGAGAGAAAGAAAATTATAAAAATGAAATTATTCAGGCTTAATCAGGGTTTTTATTTCATCGAAGGTGTATCACATGGTTCATAGTTTGAATCCCGCTGCGGCATTGCTGTCCTTTAGGGTAAAGCACTAACATTATTTTTATTGTGGTATTGAGCACTCAACACCCCCCGCTGAGCAAAAATAATGGTCTGCACTATTCAAATTTGAGCAAAAAAATATATATAAATTCTTTGTTACCATCTTTTTAAAAACTTTTTGTTGTTGCCAGATCTGCGCCTGCTCCCTGTAATCTACATTTGCCACTCGATCTCCCCCAAGGCGATATACAACTGTGTATCAATCAAAAGTGTACCCAACTTAAGTGGCTCCTAATTGAAAAGTCATAACCTATGTGACTTTGGAATTGCTTTCATGATAAAGAATGACTTATTTCCTGTCCAATGATACCCTATTCATAATATTTCTGCCACTGGTGAATGAGCACCAGGGCCATTAGAAGTTGTTGTAAAAATTGCCTTGTTCACAGTTTGTGCTTTAGGGACCAATGTAGGTCAAGACATATGTATGTGCTTCTTTTGTCTTAAATTCTTTTAAAACTAAAATTGTACCTTGTGCTTCATTGTTTAAAATGATGAATTTCAAATAGCGTACAATACCGTACAATGGTAGCTGCAATAATGAAAATTTTAGATTATGTAGTTGTGACATATAATTTCCAAACGGGAATAGCTAATCGGTCGATTTTAGTCAAGAAATATTGTTTTATAGCTTTATTAATATCTTTACCTTGAGAGGGAGCTATACAACATATACAGTTTACTATTTACAATTTCATAATTTTAGACTCGATTTCAACCACGATAATGATCACTGAATATTGTAGAATCGCATATGCTTCCAATATGTTCATTTGAGCCAAATTCATGACCCAATACCAAATCTTTGTATTACATGTAAACAAGGGATGCAAATGAAGTCAAGATTGTAATTATCATAACAAAGAGAAAATCATAAATTTTGCTTGTAATAAGTATTTTTTTTTAGCTTGAGTTGATTTTTACACCTTTTTTTTCAACCGCCTAATAGTCACTGGAAATAAAGGAGCAATTGTTTTGGAATGAGAAAACACACGTAATAGCCATGACCCACATTCATTGCTTCAGCCCAAACGTGGTACCAGAGGATTTTTACAATACTTTTTTAAAATTTTGCTGTTCAGTCATCCTTGGCAGTACAATTATGAAAATGGCATCATTATGAAGGGTATCAGTCTTTCTTTACAATAAAATATGATTTAAGGTTACAATGGTTATACATTTTTAACTTGAAGCTACTAAAGGCGGGTACATGTTTTTTTGTAAATGCATTGTATAGGTAAAGGTAAGAAGGTATTTACTGAATTTTGTGAGCACTGCATCTTGCATGGTGGATATGTGCACTTTAAAAATATCTATTATAATTATTACAATTTTATTACTATTATCATTATCATTATTAGTAGTACTTGTGTTGTTGTTATTATTATTATGATTATTTGTATTATGCATGTATTTATTATTATAATTCTTATCATTATAAGGGTTATTATTTATGTCATTATGATCAATAATTGTTATCATTAAATTAGAAAAATGCGGTATGCACGACTCTTTTGATTTACTAAATTAGGTACACTTAGCAACTTACTATGTTAAATTATTTTTGATTTATATTCTTTGAAAGTTCACTTAATTAACGGTTTCAGCCACAAGACCAACTGTCGGTGTGTACTGTGATTTACCATATTATGCACTTTTATACCAGTCACACAGTGTAATGAGCTACCGTCTTTGGAAAATGGTGGAATAACAGGAGCTTGCAGCAGGGATTACGGATCTAGCTGCCATTTTGAGTGCCATGTAGGATATGAAATCAACAATGACGTTCGTACTTGCGTTGCTCAACCTGGAAGCTCGTCTGTTTTCTGGGATGGCGAGTCACCAGTTTGCTCCAGTAAGTGCCCCGGCATTTTTACAATAATGCAAATAATGAATGTATCTTCATTTTATTTAGAGTGAAGGAAGGGGGGGGGGAGTGATTGACAAATTGCACTATTACCTCTATTCTGCAGGTAAACAAGGATCTGTAAATTCACATTAAATTATGTATGCTCAAGGGCTTTAAGACTTTAAAAAAAAACATCAATTCGCATTGAGTTGTGTAGAGTGTCGACTATGAAAGACAACATATCATGCACTGTTTACACCCATCAAGCAGCGTGAAGCGATATGATAAATATAACAAGCCGCAGAAGCTTTTGCACACAGCATGACAGAAAACGTCACTGGATGACTATGTTTTACTGCATGATTGTGATATTGATTACCTAAAGCTATAGATTAAGGTACATGATTTACTTTTATTTTTCTTTCTTTTATTGTAAATAGTGTTTGTAATTTCCTTGAAAGATATCAACATTAATTTACATGTAGACCTTTTAAACAAATTTTTGATTGCATTCAATGCTAAATATTGAAAGACTTTCTCTGGAGCTAACCTCAATTAGCATGTTGCTATTTAACTCCAGTTACCAAATAATATGTATGTATATTGTATTGAATACAAATAAATGTACATGTTAGTGATTTGGCAATAAAATCCAACTCATACAAGTATTGTACGTAAATGAAGTTAACTATGTATTTACCCTAACAGGAATCTACTGTACCAAACCATCATTATCCATCGGTCTTCAGATTACAGTCACTTCCCAATGTCCGTCAGGAAGACAAGTGTCATCGGGTAACCAATGCCACTTCATTTGCTCAGAGGGATACCATCTTCAAGGTAGCGAAGATTTAACATGCCAAGAAGATCACACTTGGAGCAGTACCATCCCAACTTGCCAATGTAAGTATTACCGCGTACATAGAAAGGAAGAAGGTTCTCAAGCAGTACTGCAGTCCTTTTTCCACTTGTAAACCATGTGAAGCAGGCGGGTACCTATAGTAGACAAATGCAGAGCTGCCAACATTGGAAAACAGTTGAGAGTGAGATTATACGAGAAGCGTTAGCGCGAGGGAGCGAAGCGACCAAGCCGGACCGAGCGAAGCGAAGGGAGTGGGGAAGGGTGTGGGAGGGGGACATGCCCCCCTCCCACAGTGAAGAGCTTTTTTATTTTTCAAGGTGAAATTGCGTGATCTGGTGCATACTTTATAGAGTATTTTAACATAGCTAAAGGCAATATGGAGAGAGAAAATCATACAGACTAGCAGAGAGATAAAGAAAATTATTAACATGGAATACCTGATTGTTTGCCCACAAACGTGGGCGGCTGGGCTAGGCGTAGAGCAAGGTGCTGAGGGCTCCACGCGCTCACTCTCTGTGACAAAGCCACAGGCAAGTTTTCTTAAGTTGTTACATAATCACAAGTCATTTTTCATTCTCAAAACTCACTTTGTACTTTTATAATCCCTCTCTATCTATTCAACTGTTTGAAGTAATATTAGGCCCTCTTTAAAAACAAAGCACAGAACCGTGAAATCTTTGCTGTTCTTGATCAATTGAATTGTCAACTGTTACTGATGACGTACTGGAGCTCGGCATGCTGTTGGTGGTTTGTCCAATCCATATTCGGGGCTAGGGCAGGCTCGGCCCGAGCCGGCTAGCTGCATATGAATATGGGTACAGTGCGAGGATACGTACATCATCAGGCTAGCTAGCTATATGGGCGCCGATCTTACACATGCACACGTGAGAATTGAGTGAAATGGGTGAGTCTCATGCTCAATGCGTGAGTGTTGGCAGCCCTGCAAATGTTTCCTTGAAATAGATATATTGTGCAATGCTAAGTTTGTCACAGCGCTTTTGAAGAGACATGTGCTATACAAAACCAACATATCCAACATTATACTTTTAAATACATACTGTAGCCCGGGGGGGGGGGGGGGCTCACTCGTGGCCAATCTGGTATAATACGACTACGGACAACGCTACAGCAGCATTCACAAGCGTGCAACATAATTATGCGAAACCGAAACGTGAGGAGAACTTCGGTCTGTTTCGCTAATGCTAGCGCGCGCTAACCCAGTTAATCAAGCCCATTCGTTTACATGCAGTTGTCCAAAAGATGACGTAGATGGCGTTAACCAGTATTTGGCATGATACAATCCCTTTAAGATATGTACAGGGATGTGCCGCTCTAATGGGTCACTTTTTTCACACAAAAGTCCTTAAACATGGGTCCCATTTGTTATAAAAATATCACTAAACATGGGTCCATTTTTCAAAAAGAAAATTCTGAAAAATGGGCATATATTTCAAGGAACTTCCTAAAAATGGGTACCCTTTTCTGCAAAAATGACTCTTAAAAAATGGATAGGGGTTTCGAGGCACAAGTGGCACACCCCCAAAACGAAATCTGAGTATCCTAACATCTAAAAATGTCTAAGGTAACTCAAAAAATTCAAAATAATTATGAAAGTACATGTATCAGGTCATATCACTTCTAGTTGGTCACACCCATTCTAGATGTGACGACTTCAGATAGGAGGTATGAGGCTTTTTTAAATTGTAATGCCACATACTACTAAGAATGCTATACTGCCTCAATGAACTAAGTGGACACGACATCCATTCAGCCTTCAAACTTAATCTCAAGTTCTAGTGAATGGCCATTTAAATGTCACATTTTGTAGATTGAAATAGATTTAAGTTTGCATTTTGAACTGTCATCTTTTCTTTTTACAGTAATCAACTGTGCAGTTGCAGACCTATCTGTCCCAATGTTCGCTGTGAAACAAGGCTGCACGACCGGAGAAGTAAACTACGGAACAGTTTGCACACTTTCCTGTCAAGAAGGTTATGAACCTACTGGATCTGGGGAAATGACATGCTCAGACGATGGAAATGGTGTTGGGACTTGGTCTGGGGATTCCATCGAATGCACCTGTAAGACTTTACTCTTTCGTGTTTCTTTTTGTTATGATAGAAAAAATGAGATGTACAGTGTAAGATACCAAAACATTTTCAGCTATTTGGTGTATTGAGATAAGCAGTTTCCTAAAAGAAGAATATGGTTTGGCAGCGCTCGCCTTTATAGTTAAATATTCAGTTCTGTTAACCCTTGTGTATGAAATTCCAATAAATTTAATAACAGTAATTGTAATAAGCTTAAGATTTCTTTTCTATCTTTCCACAGTGGTGACCTGTTCAGTCCCCATACCAGTATCAACTGTCACTACCGTGAATTGCTTATACAATGGCGAATCGACTGTAACATCAGAAAGACAGAAATATTCTACTGCATGCAATTTTCAGTGTGATGATGGCTATTCATTGGTGGAAGGCTCACATGTGAGAGTTTGCTTGGCTACTGGTGAATGGGATGGGATTCCAGTGTTATGCAGAGGTAGGTAAACAGCAGGAAAACGCTGTTGTCTTGGGTAAAACTGGTTGTCTTTTTTACTATTATTAAGAAGAAACCTTGATTTCAGCTAACATAATTATGTCATTTCTTTTCTTTATATACACAGTGTGTATTTAAAAAAGAGTAAACCCGAATTCAGAAGATTTCCATTTCAAGTAATTACCTTCGTAACCATGAATTATATTTCATATTAATGAGTAATTAATACTCTGTCTCATGATACCTTATTCATAAATCTGCTGTCACTGTTGACAGAGCAGCAGTCATTAAAAAAGGTATTGTCAAAATCATCTTGTACCAAGATTGGACTGAAACAATAAATGTGGGCTAAAAGCCCTTTCGCATTCTTATGTCGTTCCGCAAATAATTGCTGCCTCTAGAAATTTGAATTTGAATATACTTTAAGTGCAATATTGATTCTCATGCGCAAGATGCACATATATTCACCAAAAAATCTATTTCTGTCAAAATTTGATTTAGGCCCGCTTTGGGAATTCAGCTCTTTATTATACATCAGAAGTCATGTTTTGGATGTATCTATCAATAAATCTGTAAGTCATAACAACCATGGAAATTGACTGTACCTGACTCAATCATTTATTCTTACTTATTAAACATGTAACAATTTTGCTTCCAATTTTCTTTCAATCACACACATTTTTGACACTTTCTCTGGGAAACATGAAATTAAGAGGGAAAATACATAAAATTTATTAACCTTATGATGTTTTGTGACAGACATAACACCACCTGACCTAACCTGTCCTGAGGATATCGTGCTGAAGGCTGACCCAGGGATGACGATGAGTAAGATACAATGGAGCCGATGGGAGCCTATTCTGGTATGTCACTTGAAATATTGTGTTTAACTCAATTGTACGTAATGCCAAAAATTGAATTAACGATGGCCTACAGTTTCCAATTTTGCAACTGCATGTCTCCATTGTTCTCTAATGGCATTTTGATAGAGTTGTACCATGATTAGTCAGAAGCCCAATCAATTCTCGCTAAATAAATTTATTGCTCTAAAATTCACATTTTTATCATCTTTGGATCAAAATTTATCTTGTTTTCCCCTCATACTATTTGAGCGGAATTATTGGTTTGAAGAGACATGACAGGCGTGTTACACATAATTTTACAATAATTTGCGAATAATTATCTCAAACGATTGTACCTACAAAATGACAGACTTTTCGAAAACTCAATAGTGTATTCTGATAGTAACGCTGCGTTTTATTGCTTACAGGTACTTTTGATCACATTATACATTTAAAAACAGAAAACACAGAAACAAACATAGGAAAACTTCTTCCATTTGTATCTTCCCGCAGGCCTCAGATCTTGGAATGAGTATTGAAGCAACTCTTTACAGCATTAACTCTGATGAAGTAGGACCCAACCGCCCATCCTTGTTCTCAGAAGGTAGTCATACACTGGTTTATGAGGCAGAAGACGTGTCTGGGAATAAGATTGATTGCTCTTTTTCTGTCACAGCCAAAGGTAAATTCTCCTTCACCCTACATGTATATCCACGGGACAGTTGGTGATTTGTAACACAGTTTTTTAACTTGTTGAATGACCAGTTATAATGATGTGAAATCAACGCTCAAAATACACGGGGGCGGTGGGTGATCCGCTCCATAATCGCCCCTGTCAGGTTACTCACGGGGGCGATTGCAAAATTAAAAATCGCCCCGTGGAATTATAAAATAAAGATTATCTTTTCTGATATAACTTTAACACAATATTGAGTATCAATTTTCAAACCTTAAACCAATGAAATGGAACTTAGACGGCACTATCTCTCCCATCTCTATGAGTATTACCGATACAAAAAAACGGAAGCTCGCACTGTATTGTACGGCCGTCAGCAGTGGCTATACTGCGCCGGTAGTACAGGTCTGCACGCTGACGCCCAATATCTGCTGGAGCTGGAGACGATCACGCAAAGACTGAAATATGCAGAAGTTTTTCGTTGTGAAAAGTGTGAATCCTCTGAAATCTGGTGATTCTAAAAGACCAGCAAATTATGTACCTCGACCAGTAAATAAATATCGAGAAGAAGAACAAGACCAAAGATGCTGCAGGGGCGGATCTAGGCGGTTTAGGGGGTTTAACCCTCCTAACAAAGAATTGATTCTAAGCTGCCCAGCATATGAAATATTCTAGATCAACTCTAAAATAAATAAATGTCCTTTTCAATTCAGTTTGCAGATGTCCGCCATTATCCATTCCTGAGAACAGCATTGTATCTTTAGCGGCAGGAGTGGGGTCGTGTAATGGAGGAGTTGTGTATGGATCGGTGTGTACTATCAGATGTGAGCTTGGCCATACCTTGTCAACAGGGGGCAGGTCTTTGAACAGAACTTGTGACATTTCAGAGTCCGGCCCAAACTGCGATGCAATGTGGAGTAGCCCCGATCCAGTCTGTGAGAGTAAGGTTTAAGTAGAAATAAGACATATTAAGCTTATTGAAATTCTAGGGGGGGAGAGGGGGTGGGGGTCGAAGTGTTTAAACTCATCAATCATAATGTTTACACATAACAGATGTCTTCCGTAGTATTATTTCAGTGGATATGTCAAAACCTCTCTCACTTGCTGATAATCCTTCTTTATGCATTGGACTAATAATTAACAGCTCACTGTAATCATGATACAATTCACACTGTGATTAATGTTCCATTTTCATAACTTTATTCATTTTATTTTCAGTTGTTAGATGTGATGTTCCCGACGTTACAAATGGCTTGTCAGATTGCCCGTCTTCTACAGTGGCCTATCTTACATCGTGCGGGTTTTCTTGCGAACCTGGTTATAGGGCGCCCTCTGGAGCGGACAGCTATTTGCGTACATGTCAAGCAGACTCTCAGTGGAGTGGGGAGGATTTTCAGTGCACTGGTAAATTACAATGTGAATGTTATAATATAGATATATTGACTGCTATGAGAGGCATAGTTGTTTCTATAGGGTCTCGGGGTCATAGCAGGATGTAGCGTCCCCGAGTGCCTATCGAAACAACTATACCTCAAATTTTAAAAAACCAATATATCTTTTATATACCGTAAAAAGAGTCAAATAATACATGTGCGACTCACTTACCAATCATGGGGTCCTCACATTTAAAAATTATCATCAAACTGTGCTCCTGAAGAACAGGGAAAGCAGAACTGTGCTTCAGTGGAACAGAAAAATAGCTATCAAATCACACTGTGATTATGGTATCCACGCTCGGGGCTCACACAAAGTCATATATTACACTTAAACCAATGGGGATCACAGCAAAATTTAATAGTTAAAAACACGACTTCACTTTCAACCAATCAGATGACAGGATTAGGAAAGATTCTTGAAGTATGGAATATAATACACAAATATTGACTGTTTTAAGGGGCTGTGCGCACAGATAGACTAAAGCCAAAGGTAATCTTGAAACTGTACTGTACCCCTTGACTCCATCTCGGGGCATAGTGCAGTCTAGAGATCACAGAGGAGCTATGGTTCTGTATTCCGCATCTAGCTTGTGGATTCTAAAAAAGGGATATTTTGACAAATATCACGTTCAAAATATGTTTGAAAATGGGAAGAAATTTACCAATCAAGCAGAAGTCCGCTGCGCGCATCCATTGTTAACTTCAGACGCATTTTTCACGTCCTTGAATCTGTGTCTGTATCTGTGTGCAATTCAGTCCGCCAGTGAAATTGAACAGAATTTTTTAATAAACAAATCTTTCTTCTTCTTTTTTTTCCTTAAAATAACCACCTAGATTTGATCACATGCCCAGCTCGATTGGCTATCCCCTATGGCAGTGCGACACCATCTGAATGTTCATCATCTGATTTCGTTCAATTTGGTTTCACATGTGAGTTTACATGCCAAACTGGTTTTCGACTGGAAGGTCCTGGCAGCGTGTTGTGTAATACGGACGGAAATTGGAGCCCAAATGGTGATTCCTTCTGCGTTGGTATGTCCAAATTTTTCTATGATTTTTATTTGTAATTACAACTTAAGATTTCTGTAAAAAAATTGTAAGCAAAGGTCAACAACAACAACAAAAACTTTTGTGTGAGGTTCATGCAGTGCAATTAGGGGGAAGAGGGGCTGTCATCCCCCCTCCCGATATCGTCAAAATTTGAACATTCAAACGAATTGTTAGCTGCCGCCCTCCTGCAACAGACTGCTGAAGATATATCGTTGCCTCTGCTTGATTTCAAGTTTCCTGAAATCATCTAGGCCCATTTAGTAGTTTGGATGACTGGGTGCGATCAAAAATAAGAATAAAATAAGAATAAAATCAACCGAATTCAATGCTGCACGTTCTCTTCTATGAAGCCTTGGTTTTTAACCCACCTGGCACACGTAAGGATTTCACAATGTTAAAAAAAGCCCTGGAAATTACTTTACGATGCGCCCAATCTTCTGGCGAGGCTTCCACCACAGAGTATCTGGGACTGGAATCATTTTCTCTTCTAGGACGTGTTCAGGACTATAGGCTTACGTACCCTTTTAATTCCGCTTCTTTTAGATATACAAGCTCCTACATTTGACGTGGCTTGCCCTCATCGCATTAATGCTGATGCTCTACGTGAACGCACCACCGCGGAAGTTTACTTTCAGGAACCCAATCCAATTGACAACTCTGGAAATGCTACCATAAAGAGGTAATTTATACAACATTATATACCGCTATATGAAGGGTCTAGGTCTGAGATTGGTCAAAACTGCAGGAATAAGATTAGCTATCCACTTCTAGGCATTATAGCGAGAGAAAAAAATTACCTGTCATATTGCCAAGATCACCAGGCGTAAGCTGCCACCATGACCACTGCTATATATTCATCCCTTTATATTTCCATCTATCCCAGGTCATGGTTTTCCCTTTTATTATGACACTCAATCATCCTCTTTCAAAACAAAGAAATTAAATATCTGACCTCGTCATCACCTCCAAGTTCATATTTTATGTCACATTTTCTCGCTTCTCACAAATACCAAACAATCATGTATATACGAGATTTTTTACACGTATTTCTAAGTCCATTTATTGTTTTAACTGTATTTTTCAAAAATGTACAACAGACTGGATTTGGGGTATGCTCCTGGGAGTGAATTTCCAGAAGGCGATACGAGAATTCGATACAAGGCAACCGATGCTTTTGGACTAACTTCATTGTGTGACCTTATCATAACAGTGAATGGTAAGTCTAGGAACTAATGCATTTATAATCATAAAACAAATAGACCTAAGAGGCACAATGAAAGGGCTGGATGGGACAGACTAAAAGTACGCTGTTTTGGTAGAGAGGCAGTAAGAAAATAGTCAATAATATTTATATATTCAAACAAATTTAGTGACCAATAAACTTATTTAGTATCTTTTTTTCAATTTTTTTACTTCAGGAGTACCTGTTATTTCTTTTCTACAGTTATTTCTCCAACGGCGTCGAGTTATAAAATCATTGCATCCCAGTTATTTAGTTGTGATGATCAATATGATATAATGATGATAAAATGAAAACAAACATTAAACAAAAATCTTTTCATTCCGCCTTTCTGATGATAATTCCAGTTCACCGCTGCTCCGTCCAACAGCCGCCCCTTCACGGGGCCGTTACTGGCTGCGTTGACTCTTTCATTGGAAGTCAATGCTTGTTTTCATGTGATGTCGGGTATAATCTGATGGGTACATCAAGTTTGCAGTGTGAACTAACATCCGATGGTACGCCTGCATGGAATGACCTCACTCCGACTTGCCTGAGTGAGTCTAATGCTATCTTCTTTTCATTAAAAAAATATATATCTTGATTGATTTAAAGGAGAAGGGAGACAGATATTCACACTCCTGTGTTCACGAATCCAGTTTTATACATTATACAGTTTGTTTTCATATAAAAATAGGAATAATAATAAACGCTTTTAAGTTAATTGAATTAGGACTGTGTTGTTATGATACATCATGGTCGTTACTTTATTATGAAGTATTCCATAGTCTAGCTTTTAACCTATTATTTTATTGGTGATTTTATTGTTTTAAAGCCAGTGCTGTAATTTTCCTTCACTTTTTTTCTAAACAGTTCAAACATGTCCATCTCTGCAAATTCCTGAGTTTGCTTCTCTTTCTGGATGTGATAGTTCACCCGTGCCTTTCGGGTCCATTTGTACATTCTCCTGTGAACTGGGTTATACTGGCATTGGAGAAAGCATAAAGAGCTGTCTGGAAGAAGAGGTGTGGTCTAGTACAAGCTTTGTATGTGAAAGTAAGTGTTTTGTTTTATTCTCAGATATTCTCAGAAAGTTCAACCTTATACATAAACGTTTGACATATTTTTCGTCATTTCTTTACCTAGGGTATGCCAAGTTAGAATATAATTCTTATTGTACAAATTTTAAAGAAAAAGTGTACAGTATGTTTACAAATATCAAATCCAAATGTAAAAGCCAATATGCGACGGTTGACGGAAAATAGACAAGTGAAGATGAAATAATGAAACAACTAAAGGAGAAACAAAACGAAAAAGAGGCACACAGTTATGAAGAAAGAGGATAAGTTGTTTTGAAAAGATGATGAAACAGAGAAAAGACTGGGAATAAGCAGAAAAAATAGGCGGGAGAGATGCATGAGAGTGATTTTTTAAGTTTCTTTGAAGAAAGCTGGTTTTGAATAAATTTGTCATTACTTGACAAAGGCTGCAAGCCGAAAATTCATATATATATATTGTATCTTCTAGGATATTTGTGAGAAATTAAGATGAGAGAATAACAGTGCAGGGTTGAATCAAAGTTCGCTATATAATCATATATGGGAATAATGTAAAAGTCTCACCTATATATCCACCTGTTTAATTAATGCTCAAAGGTACAGTGTCATAATACTCTGAAACCTTCAAACGAGTAATACCTCAACACCGATCTTCTCTCTCTGCCTATGCCTGACTTTGCATTCTTCTTCTACTTTTCCACTTCTTCACGTTTTTTCTTAATAACTCATATCAATAATTACTTTAAATATTCATATTATTCTTTTTTCGAGGACTACCGTGTGAAGTGCTGTCTGAACCATCATCCATTATGATCTTACCAGAGACTTGTTTGTCCGATCCGCGCTTCGGCGATGTCTGTTCACTAGAATGTGAACAGTCTGGTTTCAAGATAACACCTCCTGGTTTGAAGGAGGTTACTTGTTCCAGTGATCAGACCTGGACTGGCGAGGTAGAACAAGCTCAATGTGTGGGTAAGAATCAACTTACCGTATTTGCCGGCGATAAGGAAGCAGTGTTTTTGGAGAAAAAAAAATATCAAAAAGTCGGAGTGCGGCCTTTACGCTACAACAACAAAATTCAGCGGTAGTATGACTAGACAACGGTACAAGATAATTTTAGAATAACTCCACACAACTTACCGACAATTTTAAGTTGCATAGTTGACGTGAAGACGAAAAAAAAGGCAACTTATTTCTCTGAAAAAATCTGCCGATAGATCTAGATCAAAGTCTGTACCATTGCATTGCCAAAAAGTAAAAAAGGGACAGGTCGGAGCTAGCTGCCGCGCAAAGCAACTGCGCAGGTCGAAAAACGCTATTCCGGATTACACCGCACATCGAGGTAGGGGTATTGTAGGATACCAAATCTGCGTGCGATACAGTACTAGCTTAAAAGTCGATGAAGATCTGCCAAATTACGATCATTTTTGAGGTAAACTTCTTGTAAATTTATAAGAATATTGATGAATTTGGTACCAGTTTGTAAAAAAAAAAAGAGTATTCTAAAAGAAAATTACGATCATTTTTTTGGGGTTATTCTTTTTTTCTCTCTCTGTCATATAAGTCACAATAATCAAGGTTATTTCCTTATGTCAATAAAATCAGAGAGTGAATGAGGAAAGATGAGTTGTCTAAATTATTTTAATAGTTAACCACGTTCCTCATAATATTTGAAGCTATTTTGGGAGTTTTGAAGCGCCAAGAACATTGCAATGGTCGACTTTCGGAGCTGCGAGTACGAGGATATTTTATAATTCTCATAAATTACCTTTATGTAATGTTTTCGTTAGGTCTTTAATAAAAATAGAATGATTTATAAAATCTGAAACTTACATGTACATGCATATCAAGTGTCTTCATGATTATGTAGCATTAAGCATATTAAGCTGATGTCTTGCCTTGTTTAGCAAATTTTATTGTCATGTGGTTGTTTTTCAGATTTGGAGCTTCCAGTATTCGAGGACTGTCCGTCAGATATAGTCGCTTTTGCGAGCAAAAGCTCAGATAAGGCCAATGTGGAGTGGTCAGCAGTCGCTACGGACAATGACCCATCACAAGAACCAGTAGTGACCTGTAATCCCCAGCCTGGGATCTTGACCATAGGTGTACATGTCGTCAGATGCAGTGCGCTGGATGAAGCCGGTAACGAGGCTTCCTGTCAATTCACAGTGGAGGTCAAAGGTAGGATTCTTCATATACAACAGGGCACAGGGGCGTAGCGAGGGTCCAGCCGTTGAAGGGACAAATGCTTCATGGTAGGGGGGCATCGATGAATAAAATTCAAATTAGTTAAGCCAATGAATTAGGGAAGGGTGCGGGTGGTGGCCCTTAATTGTCTTTTCTCATTCTTCTCTCCGTATCCCTATCCCGTCTCTCGTTTCTCTGTATATTTTGTCTTGCCTCTATCATCCCCCAGAGCTATCATAGACTAGATCCTAACACAAACTCTTACACACCTCAAAACTACACAAAAAACATCTACTCCCAGAAACATATCCTTGAGAAAATATCTAAAAATATGATGACTGACTGTACATAACTTGAATTAATGTTGACCCCACTGGGTTCATGCATGAGCATTAAAAGATCAAAGGAAAATAGTTTTGAGTTCATGAGGTCAGAAGTTCAAGAGCAAAGAACCATTTATCAATGAACATAGCAATAATACTGGATATTTGTATAGCACCCATATCCACGCCGCATTGTGTTCATAAGGTGCTCCATTAATTACCCCGGCTGGGGCGTAAAAGATTTACAGTCGCATTTATCTTGTTCACTCCATGAATGAGATTATTTAAATCGTTATAACTATTTCTAAGATGATGATGATTAATATTATTATTGATATGCCTTGTACCTTTGTATTTTAGCGCGACAGTGTCAACCTCTAACTCCTCCTGCACATGGCATTGTAATGGACACTTGCGACACGACCTACGGCTCTACATGTCACATAGAATGCTCTGAAGGTTATCTTTTGGTCGGTTCTTCCATTGGAAACTGTGAATTCGATGGAACTAACATGTTTTGGCAATTCGAGAATGAACCTCTGTGCATAAGTAAGGAAAAAAGAATTGACACTGACAATAAAATAAGTTAAAATAGCCCCGATTCATCCTACATTAGGCAGGGGATTGGTGAGGGGTCCCTTATCATGCTTTTTACTCCACCTCTGGACATGTCAATGAACATTTGATGATGTGTTGGCAGTTGTGAAGTTATTGGATAGAAACTACTGACATATTAAACTTTCATGCATACTTTCTAAACCAAGTTTCTTCTTGACAACCTGAAAGCTTGTCTGGCTTGCCCGACATAGCATCAAGTGATGTAGGCAGACTGGATTCCAAGTATTGTATTTCAGTCTTTAATTAGAGGTTAATGGAATAATTTGTCACTAGGTCCCAAGAAAAGAAAAATTCATAAATGTGTATACATACATGATATATTAATAAACCGGTCTACTGCAAAGTATTATTTTGTTCTCATTGATTAAGTTATTTGCATGTTAATAATTATATTCCACATACTAAGAATTTTGCTCTATGATTGGTCAAAAGTAAATCACGTGATGAAAGATAGTTCGCCCATCATTGATTGGAGAAGAAAAGTTTGTTACACTGTAGATACTGCTACTATCTACACAGTGCAATGGACTTTCACTGAAGATAGTAGTACTATCTACACAGTGCAACGCTCTTTCACTAAAGATTGTATACATTGCCTATACGTACCTACGTAAGTACTGCATACACTGCACGTATTGTACACCGTTTGCTAGCTATTAATATTGATGAAATGTTGCTCTAAAATGACGGCAGAAGTGAAATGTTTCTGATGTGGAATAAAAAGCAAATAATCAACTTTTGGTTTCAGGTGATGGCAATTTAACTGTCACTTCCTCGGCAATCTAAAATGCTATCTTTCCTCAGCTTTTCTTCGGAAAGATAGCTACATCCAGATCGCCTCAGAAGTGATAGTTTGTCCCATCACCTTCACCAACAGTAATTATTTGCTTGCTATCATACCCTCATCAATTGTCACTTAGCATCTGATATTCACTGAAACTTTTAATTGACGTAATAATGTAATGGCCATTCACATCTGTCCACTTTCAGCGACCAGCTGCAATCCACTTGATGTTCCCGATCCAATCCTATTTTCCCCTGCGTCCTGTTCCGGGTCGGGCATGGTGCATGATGGGACAGTGTGTACCTTGAGCTGTGATTTCCACCTGACATTGGAAACAGAGGTAGAATTATTCACCTGCCTCAAGGGGGAGTGGAGTCAACAACCCTACGTGTCATCAATCCAGTGCATAGGTAGATTTTGAATTGAGTTAACACCAAACTTTAGCAATGAAGCCGAACTGGAATTCATGGTCTGTTTAATGTACTAGCCTTAAATCTTATATATATATATATATATTTATATTCCACATACTAAGAATCTTGCTCTACGATTGGTCAAAAGTAAATCAAAAGTAACGATAGTTCGCTCATTATTGATGGGAGAAGCAAAAAGTTTGTTACACTGTGTAGATAGTACTACTATCTACACAGTGCAATGCTTTTTCACTGAAGATAGAGGTACTATCTACACAGGGCAACACACTTTCACTGAAGATTATCCAAAAGTGCACTAAAACAGGCGTAATTAAGCGCGCATTACCAATGAGCGCATTTAAAGCGAAGTTCCATCTAGTTATTTTGATTTTCATTATAGTTATTATAATTATAATTATCAGCAATATAATAATAGAGTCAATTTTGGTTTGAATTACCACAAATCAGTTTCATTCTAGACTGACAAATTTCCCATTTGTTCCAACACACAAAATGACTAAAATTGCAATTTTTGTCTTAAATTTATGACTCAGGAGGGTCTTCTCCTTTTTTAGAGGACCTATAATAAAATGCTATCCATAATTTATTTTGAGTATTACCCCAAAATAGAAGGCACTTAGTAGAAAAAAGGAAAATTCAAGATATTTTGGGGACACGACAAATGGAAGTTGTCTTCGACTGCATCACAATCTACAATACACAACAGCAACTAATAGTGCAAATGCTTGCATACTTCTTTCTTTGCAGATGAAGTTCCTCCTACACTCACCTATTGCCCACCACATATCTTGACTACTCGTACCGAGTATTGGGGTGTGGAGGAAAGTTTTGTTTACCCATCAGCAGAAGATAACTTCGACATGGAACTACAAGTAACCGCTGACCCCCTAGATTTAATGTCCCCCTACACCTTCACGTCTGATACGACATGTACATACACATTCACTGATGATGCAGGGAATAGTGTGTCTTGCGTCTTCCAAATTGACATCACTAGTAAGTAAACCTTGTAGGTCCCTGTTCAATTTTGAGACAAGTACTCACATAGAGAAATAAAACCTAATAATAATAATAATAATAATAATAGCCTAATAGTCCACTCCAAATTTTATTAAACTGAAACAGAAATTCTTTTTGCCCAATTGATCGTGAGCCCGGCAGCCACTGAGCAGCGCCAGATCGATGTTGCTCTATCCCTTATTGTTGAACGCCAAACAAGGTAGCAACAACTCCCATCTTTCAACTTCAACTAATAATTAGAAAGATTACTATAGCGCAGCTACTATACTCTTCTACGCTGTGATGAAGAAGAAAATCCTTACATTGCTTCTTTACGGAAACATTACCTAAGATAAAAACCTGAACAAGTGCATTTTAAACTAAACGAAATTACCCCCTCTCCTGTTGTCCCTCATGTAAATGGGCTTTTTTTAAAAGGAGTTAGGTTTCTTCTCGGTCATTTTGTGGGGCTGAATGTCCTAGAAATTAAGTTTTTCGTAGGGATAGTCCATGGGAGTAGTCATGTTTGTATCACGCTGTAAATGCTCTGTTTTCGTAGCATAGTATGATCATGAAAACAAGTATAAACAAGATCTGCTGGAACCAAAATTTCAGATATAGATATGTTGCAGGTAATTAGTCATTAATCATTGTATCCTTATTACGGTATCTTTTATCCAGATGACGTTCAACCAGTTATAACATCATGTCCAACTGGTGGTGAGGTGAATACAAGTGACACTGTTGGTCTTGTCCACTATGAAAAGCCTTCCTACTTACCTATGCCAGGCATCGATCTATTAGTCTCCTGTAATGTGCCTGATAGCCCTATAATGCTACCTGTTGGCGACCATGATATCATATGCCATGTTTCAGATCCAGCAAGTGGTCTGCAGGCAGAGTGCAGAATGTCCTTTAAAGTCATGCGTAAGTCTACTTTGACGATCTTGATCAGTTGATATGTTGATGATGTTGAATTTATGGATCCTCATAAACAGAATTGCTATATAATACCTATGCCTATGCTTGCTGTCAGAACTTTAATGGATGCTCTTTTTTACCCATATGATCACCTGCCTGAGCAAACTGACAAAATGTTCCATGAGAGACAATTTAAATAACAATTTGTGGATTTTATCCAAAATTAAGGGTAACATTTTGTTTGCAAGTTTTTAACAATAAATTTGAGTTACCATACTTTCCTACTAAAGTAATCCATATTATTATATTGTATAAATCGTATTCTGTCTTGATAATCATTCATCTTTTACGTAATGGTGACAATAATTAGCGATCTTTATACACTTTGAATCAAACCATGATGACGCAGATGAGAGCTGCCTGCCATTAAACAGTCCCATGAATGGAGCACTGGCCTGTGACATCTTTGCCGATGGTCGGTACTGTAGTGTTCTTTGTGAAGATGGCTATGATGTTCCAAGGGTGTTGACCGGAGCAGGCATTGCAATTTCATTGGATGTATTCATCTGTGGCACCTCTGGATCCTGGCATCCTCAACAATCTGTACCCGACTGTTCAGGTAAATAACCACGACAACACGCACTTACCAACATTTCATGTCCTGTAGGTACAGTTTTCGGGGTAACATTGTGTAATTCTTTCTAAATTAAGAATAAGAACTCTGAAAAGATCACGTTGAGCTGCGCTAAGAGCACTACACACTAAGTAATAAAGGTGCAATTCTGCTACAATAGCAGCACCCTCCGTCATTACGCGTAGGTGAATGCACATCTGCATCGATCAGTATTTACGCTTGAAATGTCTTTAGGAGGCTAGGTAGTGCCTATTATGTTCTTATAAAAGACCAGTTGGAGAGCTTTGATTGAACTAATAAGTTGTATAGCTTTATTGAGGCTCTATGTCAGTCAGACATCTTTTAGCATCTCTTGTACAAGTACTCATTGTTTCATAACATGACCTGGCATGAGTCATGGGTTGCAGGTCATTCTATATTTAGTTATACATGCTAGTCTGTATTTGCAGACTCTGTTAAACTACATGTAGCTATCACTACACCTCCCTTCTTTAAAAGAGGTTTACATATACATATATAAAACTTCTTAAACTGTACAGAGTGACAGGGTGGACTACCTGTACACTCGCGACTGAACTAGGGCATTATTCTGTCCCTTAAAGCTGGAGTACTGTCGCTTTCAAATATATATAACTTATTACGCGACAGTCCATATCTTTCAAGGTTGCGATTCGCGAAACTGGAATTCTCCGTTGAGGTTGAGTGATATCTGTTGATTTTTGTAATCAAAGTGACTGATTAAATCCGGTTATATTTTTAAACTATAACATGCAAATATATATCATGCTCATGCAATCCTGCAGTTATGTTTTAAAGTCCAAGTTGAACTCTGTAACTATAAACTATTTACAAAACGCGAAAGTCTTTCTCTGTAGTTCGCTTTCATTTATTTACAAGTTCAAGCGATCTGGTGGTTTAATAACTCGTCCGCTTCTGGTTCTGGTTGATGACGTAGTTGAGCTTTCTTCAGATGCTGGTTGCTCTGTAGCTTCTGCAGTGTCATCTAGCTCGAAGTCATCCTGTGTTGGTAGTGGAATAGACTCGGCTTGTTGTTGACGTGGGACTGGCCTGAGGTGACGTCTGTTTCTGCGACGTATCTCTCCTGTTTCTGTCTCGATCTGGTATGATCTGTTTCGATCCTGGACAGACCTGACAATACCACGTTTCGACCAGGTGTTGGTTTTCATGTCTTGGAGTATGACATGATCTCCAGGCTTTAGCTTTGACAAGTCTCGAGCATGTTTGTCGAATCGCTCTTTTTGCTTCACCTTATGATCCTCCTTTCTTCCCCTCACCAATCGAGTATTGACCTGTTGGTTGTCGAGTAAAGTGTCAAGCATGGGGAGATTCGATCGAAGTCGACGATTGTAGAGGAGTTCTGCCGGAGACTTTCCGCATGCTAGTGGTGAACTGCGATAGACTTGAAGAGCTCTGTGGATATCCTGTCCACTGTGCTGTAACTTCAATATGAGTTTTTTTACAATCTTCACAGCATTCTCTGCGAGGCCATTGGATTGCGGATAATATGGACTCGATGTAGTATGGTGAAAATCCCATTCTTTTGCAAAGCTCTGGAACTCTTGGCTTGCAAATTGAGGACCATTATCCGACATGAGTTCACATGGCGTTCCATGGCGAGCAAATACTGCTTTCATGTGGTTGATCACGGCCTTGCTACTAGTAGAAGTCATAGTACATACTTCAATGAACTGTGAATAGTAGTCGACGATGACCATGTACTCTCTATTGTTCAGCGTGAACAAATCAACAGCAACTTTTTCCCACAGGCGGTTCGGCACGTCATGAGGATGTAGACTTTCAGCTTGCTGTTTTGGTCTGTACATTAGGCATGAAGTACAACTTTGGACCATTTCAGTGATGTCTGTGTTGATTCTGGGCCAATAGATGACTTCTCTAGCACGTTTCTTACACTTCTCGATGCCTAAGTGTCCTTCATGGATTTTGTTTAGCATGAACCTTCTCATAGTAGTGGGAACCACTATTTTGCTGCCCTTGAAGATGATGCCATCTGCTTCAGAGAGTTCACTCCTGATGTTCCAGTATTCCCTGACTCGAACTGGACATTGCTGCTTCGTTTCCGGCCAACCATTTCTGATGATGCCTAGCAGCTCTTGCAGTTGATCATCTTTCTTTGTCTCTTCGACAATCTGATTTCGTTTGTTCGATGTAACTGGCATGCTCTTGACAATAGCATCTACGTAGACTCTGATATCTTCCTCAGTTTCAGCATTCAACTCAGCCTTTGGATCTACTGCTCTGGACAATGTATCAGCAGTATACATGTACTTTCCAGGCGTGTACAAGACCTTGAGATCATATCTCTGTACCCTGATGAGTAACCTTTGAATGCGTAGGGGACAGTCACCCAGTGACTTTACAAACAGTGGAATAAGTGGCTTGTGATCAGTCTCCACTTCTACTTGTTGTCCATAGATGTATTGATGGAATCTTTCACATGCGTATGTGATTGCCAGCAATTCTTTCTCGATCTGTGCATATCTAGTCTCTGCATCAGTCATTGATCTAGATGCATATGCGATCGGAACCCAATCTTGATCATATTGCTGTAGTAGCACTGCACCAATACCATCCTTTGATGCGTCTGCTGACAGCTTGGTTGGTTTCTTGCTGTCATAGAAATGTAGGACTGGCTCTTGAATCAGAGCTTGTTTCAGCTGATTCCATGCATCCTCTTGTGCATGATCCCATGTCCATACATTCTTTTTGTCTAGTAGATGTCTCAGTGCTGCTGACTTGGTCGACAGATCTGGAATGAACTTCCCTTGGTAATTGATCATACCCAAGAACCGTTGGACATCTTTCCGACATTTCGGTCTCTCAATGTTCAAGATAGCAGACACTTTCTTTGGATCAGGTTGAACTCCTTGATCACTGATCAAGTCACCAATGAATGTGAGCTTCTTGACATTGAACTCGCATTTGTCTTTGTTCAACTTGAGATTCATTTTTCTCACAATGCTGAGAACCTCTCTCAACCTGTCATCATGCTCCTGTTGGGTAGTTCCCCATACAATCACATCATCCATCATTGTGTTAACTCCCGGAATGTGTGCAAACAGTTGGTGCACTATCTTGTGATAGACTTCCGGAGCACTACAAATACCAAAAGGTAGTCTCAAGAACTTGTACCTTCCGTATGGCGTGATAAACGTACAAAGCTTGGAGCTTTCGTCATCTAGTTGGATCTGCCAAAAACCACTAGATGCATCTAACTTGCTGAAGTATTTGGCTCCTGCAAAATGTGCAGTTATTTCAGCTCTTGATGGCAATTGATAGTGTTCTCTTTTGATTGCTCGGTTCAGGTCTCTTGGATCTAGACAGACCCTGAGCTGACCGTTCTTTTTCATCACCACCACGAGAGAAGAAACCCAATCAGTTGGCTCATCAACTCGTGTGATTACGTCCATTCGTTCCATCTTATCTAACTCGTCTTTGAGTTTATCTTGAAGTGGAAATGGAACTTTGCGACATGCATGTTGAACAGGATGTGCGTCCTCTCTCAATGTGATGTGGTGTTTACCAGGAAGACAACCTAGACCTACAAACACATCTTGATAGTCTTGAACTACACTTTTACCCGTTCCGTGTTCAGTTTGTTTCTCAACATGATACACCCGTTTCACCAGATACAAGTCTTCACTCGTCCGTAATCCTAACAAAGGCTGACGATTTCCAGGAATGACTAGACACGGCACATTAAGTCTGATCCCTTTGTACTCAACTTGTACACAACAACGACCTTTGACCGGGATATCTGTCTCATAATAACCTGTCAACATCACTTTGGCTTTTTGTAGCTTTGGTTTTGGTTTCAATTTGTGAAATACTGTCTCAGGAAGAAGATTCGCCTGAGCACCAGTTTCAACCTTGAAGTCAACCGGCTGGTTATTGACTAGTAGATTAACTATCCATTCATCCTTGGATTCTTTTGATTCAACAGAGCAAATCATGAAACCCTCTGAATCTACCTCCAAGTGCTGCAGTTCATTGACCTTGGCTACTGGGGTTTTACAACATTTAGCAAAATGATTCTGCTTACCGCACTTCTTGCATGTTTGACCTTGTGCGGGACATTTGTCTTTGCTATGTCGGTTTCCGCACCTGCTACATGCATCACTTTTAGTACGACCTTGAGGTTCTGACCGTTTTGACTTTGAACCAGGAAATTTCTTCTTAGTCTTGCTGAAAGAATCTACCGGAATTGAGGCGTTTTCCCCTGCGGAACTCAACGCTTGTGCCTGCGTTCGAGTTTGTTCAGCCGCACGACATACTTGCAACGTTTTAACCAATGTAAGATCATCTTGCCTCAACAAACGTTCTCTTAGACCATCGTCTAAAATACCACAGATAATTCTGTCCTGGATAAGACTCTCTTTCAACATGGAAAACTCACATGACTGAGCACGACTCCGCAATTCTGTTGCGTACTGATCAACACTCTCATGCACTAACTGAGATCTTGTGAAAAATCTATGTCTCTCATACGTTAGATTACGTTTCGGCATGCAATATTCCTCATATTTGTTCAACACTTTCTCAAGCTTCATGCTCTCACCCTCAGCAAATACAAACGTATTATACAATTCCAAGGCAGCATCGCCAATCACGTGTAGAAGCATTGATGTTTGTAACTTTTCATCTTTTTCAGACATTCCTGAGGCAACATTGTATAGAGTGAATTTCTGTTTAAATCTTCTCCAGTTCTCGGAAATATTTCCCTTTAAGTCGAGTGGAGGAGGTTGACTGAGATTTGCCATTTTGTTTCTTTTTGTTTCTTAGCCTAGTGTAGTCACTCACATGAACAGCATAACAATTAGCTTTTTCTTTTTGTATCTTTGCAACAATTACTTTAAGCTCAACTATTAACTTTCACTGAGTTATTCTGTATGTTCATGTCTCATATATGTCACGCTTACTGCCCGTTATACTGGAACTGGCCCGGCACAGAACTATGCACTCCAATCCATACAACGACAGCGCTAACTATTATGGACATAACTACATTCACTGGACATACACTTAGACTCTAAGCCCTCTAGCTCTCATCATCTCTCACATCACAAAGAATTGGAATGAACTGGCCTGATTTCAATGATTCCTCCATATATATACTGCAAGCTGGGTCGCTCAGCACAAACACTGGCTGCTAAGTTCTGACACCATATTATGTTCTTATAAAAGACCAGTTGGAGAGCTTTGGTTGAACTAATAAGTTGTATAGCTTTATTGAGGCTCTATGTCAGTCAGACATCTTTTAGCATCTCTTGTACAAGTACTCATTGTTTCATAACATGACCTGGCATGAGTCATGGGTTGCAGGTCATTCTATATTTAGTTATACATGCTAGTCTGTATTTGCAGACTCTGTTAAACTACATGTAGCTATCACTACAGTGCCTACATGTACACAGGGATCCAAAGCGTTCATTTCTGATTGGCGCTCAATGGGAATGCCAGCAAAATTTAATCACGGCGGCATTATTTGAAGTTATGTCAATATTAATTAAATCAAGATGAGAAGTCTGTAGAGTAAAGGCTGTAGAGTGTATGTTCTAGAAAAATTGATTAACTGATCAACCTGCTTTGATTGGTCATTATGTCGGGATATTCTTTTTCTAGAACCAAAGTCATCAAAGCCTAACTTACCCCTGAAGATCATGTACTACCCATCCTCGTGTTCTGAGGCTGATGCTAGCAGTATAGATACTATATCCTCACAGTTCCTTGAGATTCTAGAACAGAGTGACTTTGACTCTATTTGCGACGTTAATAGTCAGTGCTCAGTAGACAATGTGGAGGTATCCTGCGGGGTCAAGAATGAACGTAGGAGGCGCTCCATCCCTGATCAAAGGAGACCTAAACTAGGCAGAGGATCTGGTGGGCCTACAAGTGTGTCTATGGTAGGCCTAAGGTTTTTTCTCGTAAATTCAATATATGAATCATTATGTGCTATATATTTGTTTCCAAACCGAAATGGATAAAATATCCCCAGGTTTTCCAAATATGTTGTCAATTTATATTTTTGCAAAGTCTTGCTACGAACGTCGAGGTGGTCGTGGCGGTTAAATTCTCTGATCCAGGGGCCAGTTAACTGAAACTCTCTACTTATCCGACTATGCAATATGGGAGTAATTTTATTTAAAAAAACTTTTAATCCAGTTATCACCATAGTTTTATCTAGCTTAGGAAAATTTGACTCCATGCAAGTATGAACAGGTGAATTACAAGAACTGACGTACTTCACCGGTTCAACCTGTGCTTTTTTTGTTAGAACATATATAAAGAGTTTTATTCCAAAAGGGCATAAATTCATTTTTAGCGTTTTTGAGTAAATCAAGGATTTCTAATTTTCCACTTTTTCTTGCAGCTCCTTTCCCATCCTTCTCCATCTTTAGCCTTCTTTGTAATGTATGACCTACTAGTCTGGACACATCCTCTGGACACCTCATTTCCATTCGATCATGGACCAATAATTTATCATTTGATAATTGGTGGAAAAACATTGTGTTGCTTTAAGAAAATAGTTATCTTGTATAATCAGCTATATTCTTGTTGTTGATTCTAGTGGTTATATTATGTATGTATATTCATATATATTTTGTTATGTTTTGTGAAGTCGAAAGCAATAATGAATAAAGATGATTTTATTAAAGAAAAGAAATAAAAATAATTCTTCACTGGTGACCCTGTAATTCCCTCCATTTTGCTCTATATTCTGCTCTAAAACCACATTCCCAAATTGACAATCAACCTCTCCAGTGTGACCATGCAAGCTATCACTGATTGCCAGCTCCCATATCGTACCCACAGGTACTTCGGTTGACAGATACAATGAAACTTGGGCAGAGCAAGCAGCCAGAAGGCCAACACCCTCATCAGGTTCTCCATAATCTAGCACATCACATCCATAGTCATGTACAGCATCACTTCTCTAAAGCTGATGGTGACAAGAAAGAGGATGGAATCCCTGGAGATGCCGAACATCAGCGGTTAAAGCCGGACACGACTCTTCTCTTTGGGGACGTTTTAGCGGAATGCGATGAGGGATATTACCTGGATGAAGATGGCTTCAAATGCAGTAAGAGGAATACAAATATACTTACCTTACATCTATGTATGACAAGAAGTACAGTTTTGATTTTGATTCATACACAATGGTGTTAATAATAATTTAAAAAATAATAATGATAATAAAAATGATAAATATAATAACAATGATGAAATGGTTGTATTAATAATAATTACTGTTATCAATATTATTATTATCATTATTACTATTTTTATAATTAATTTTTTTTATCTCTATAGGGTATTTCACCGCAAATGCAGTCCCTATGCCATGATACTTGAAATCAAGAAAAGCATCATTGATTTATTCTATATGTTCTATTTTAAAGGGAGTGGGCATGAATATGGACCTTCAGGGTTTTAAATCAAATCGCAATTTTGAGCGCAGCACTTTACTTTTTTAGTTCTCCTTCCAGGATTGTAGAATTTTATATTTTCACTTGATAGGAATAGAAATTTAAACTTTCAGTAAACACATACGTTTCACAAAAATGCATCTCTCTTCATTGAAATTAATTATTTTTATGAATACACTTACCATACTCCGTTCTATAGTTTCATGACTACCACTGGCATGACTGTACTAAAAGTTCGATATTACATCATCTTTTTTCACGTACAGTACCTTGCCCTGCTGGATATTATCTGGATGTCGCATCAGAGATCTGTACTCCATGTAACCAAGGTTTCTTCCAAGATGATCAGGCTCAAACTGAATGTAAGCCGTGCAGGGACGGAACTTCAACCATCGACCAAGGAGCAACTCGTGCTGAACAGTGCAAAGGTAACAGTAATAGTTAACTCCACATGGAGTTCAAGAACAGATTTTGGTTGGAAGTCAGTAGGAAAAAATAGACGTGTCATACGTAGTCAATTCAATTCAATTTTAAACTCAATTGTATTTCTGTTTCCAACAAAACTTTACAAATTATTATAATCATTGATTCAGATAAATTGCAACTCTTTACAAGACGGGTCCCTGATGTTTAAACATAATGACCCAAATTCACAAAGGAGGTTTAAATTTAACCCACGGTTTAAATCTTCATTTACATAACCCATGGTCTAAAATCAGCACAAAATAAGCGTGATACAGTCAGAGGTCCAATATTAGACGCAAGGCGAGGTACGCTTAATTTGCGCTAATTTTAAACCATGGTTTATGTAAATGAGTGTTTAAACCATGAGTTAGATTTAAACCTCCTTTGTGAATTCGGGCCAATAAGTTAACTGGAATTGTAAAAGTCGTGGTTTAAATCTCTGACACGGCATTTATGACTCCTTAACCAAGGCAGTTTCATCTCCATTGCTTCTCTCCACCCAGATGTTAAGCAGGAAATCGATGTTATGCAAAAATGCAGAGTGCTTAGACATATGATTCATTTTCAAGGCTTTGTGAAGCGTACAATTTAATGTTAAGATTTGATATCTTGAAACATTCCTTTCTAGAGCCCTGTCCAGCTGGACATCTCTCCAAAAGTGGCTTCCATCCTTGTACACGTTGTCCTCCAGGCCTCTACCAACCACACCCACAGCGCACATCATGTACACGATGTCCTGGGAATACTACTACAGCTATGTATGGAGCAACATCTATCAATAGCTGTCATATCGTGAACTAGGATGCCAATCTCAATACATGAATGACCGGGGCGCGCACAAGAAATTCTTAAATAAGGTCAAGGTCTATGAAGGGTAAAGATTGGCATGAGTAAAATAAAATAGATTATTGTAGGTTTTAAATTCATAAATAATAGATGTTGAAATTCAAAATCTTTCATTTCTCATGCCTAGCTAGGCTGAAGCGCGTAAACTTTGGTGTATATAGGCCGCATGTAATATTTCAAAAGACTATACTATGATCTGCAGAGAATTTCCATTATGCCTAAAGCAAGTTGTTGTTGCTATTGTTTTTGTTTGAATGGCGCGAATAACCTTTGGATCAATAGTTGGTATGTGTTTTTATTTCATTTGTATAAAGTATGTACGCGAAATAGATTTCCAATAAAGAAATTTTGGTTTGTTAATATACCTATTCCTGTGCATATTTGAATTTCAAAGCCTTATCGTTTTGTTGTAAATTTGCTTAACTGAGACGACCAAGGAAATGGGAAATTGATGCTAAAAATTTACTAGCGAGTATACAAAAATGGGGAGTCTGATAGTATATAGTGACACAGTAAACAGTATATCTTCTCATTAACATTTTACAAGCTTTTTACATTGTTTTCTTAATCATTTTGTTTTAATCCATGTAACTGTTTGTATCACCCTGGGTCTAGTCACACAATTGAAAGCTGGGCTTTACTTTAGGCCAAGTATTTAAAACTCAAAGAAAATCAAAATGTATGGATTTATTTCTTATAGAAAATGTATATATTGCTTTCATAGTTGAATGTACCTGTGATTTTATGAACTATGTAAAATATCATGCTAAACAGTAAGTCTCACACTCGGTGTATTACGTAAGATGTTTAAATTCACGATTGTTTTTTTGGACAATGTAATCAGAGCGCAATAATCAAGTTTGGAGATTTGTATTTCAGCAAGTTTCTGATTTATATCATTCGGGAAATGTAATTAATATGTTGATTGATTACAATTGGAAAATGGAAGGGTTTATTTTAGGCTTTTGCTCAAGTGTACCATTCCGGATCCCAGAACAAAAATGACATTTTGATTTTACTTCTCTCATTCTCTATAGATGTTAAGCAGTGGAAATACACTGTTTAGGGAAGTCATATACGGGATCAAAGTGTTCAATCTCAAATTATTACTTTAATCGCTATTTTGGAATGAATTTCACTGTTTCAATTGAAGTACATTCAATTCCAAAGAAATGCAATGATCCCTAACACGACTCCTTAATTATGGTTGATTTACACTCCTCATAGTAATTGTTATTTACCCATCCTTATCAAGTTTATGATTGTTGATGACTTGACAGGTCAATCCTTTGTAAAAAGTTCATTTGCATGAAAGTATAAGAGAACATAATCACTATTAACGTTGGAAATAAATCGAAACAATAATATAAGAAAGTTACGTATGTTTGAAATATGAAATAATTTCATCTTCAATTGGGACGTGAGGTAGTCACAGAAAACTATCCAGTTTGTCGTTCACAAAAATATTATTAATTTATGTTTTTCTCCTAAGTGCCTTTACCCTTGGGGCACTACCCAAAATATATTACTTTTAGCATATCATTATAGGTTCTCCAAAAAGAAAAGACACTCATCAGTCCTACAACATGACATTATAGTCATTTTGTGTGTTGAAACAAAATGATGAGAAAGTTGTCCACCACTGGGTCACAGTGACATTACCGGTTCAGCCAATTCGAAGTGCCCATATACAACTTTTAAAACGTAATTTCTGATTTTGTGTCCAACTTCATTCAACTTTCAAATGTCTCCGATTTGTCTGCTTTCGTTTAGAGATGTATATCAAGGTTACACTATCCTTAAACAAATAAAATCCTATTTAGAAGGGAAAAAACTGTTGTTATATAATTTCTTCCAGAATTACGGTTAGGTGCTTGAACAATCATTTCCCCAGTACTACCATAATGTAAAGATATCATAAAAGGGGTTATTCATGTATCCATTACCGATTCACCTATCTATAGGTAGGGCTGTTTTACCATTATGCTTGTCATTTTTCACAGTGACAAGTTCAGGTCCCCTTTTGCTGATTCATGTAGAAAGAAATAAAAATCGCTGCATAAATTGATACGAACTGAGTGTTCATTTGGATATGTTATTGTTCTACGTCTGTATTTGTTTTGACTCGATAAGCAGTCAAACATTTGGTTGAGAGAGAAAATGGTGGGGTAGAGAGAGAGAGAGAGAGAGAAAGAGAAACCTGTTGCCTGCTGGCTACACAAACGTTGCGTTCTTCCAATAAATTCCTCCACTTTGCCTAGCTTACAGTGCATTTTTGGAAAAATGGGAGTGAATCGTATTTCTATCTAAGGTTCATTAAAAAATCTCTCTCTCTCTCTCTCTCTATATATATATATATTATCCTGAAGGTCCATAATTCTAAAACACAAATTGCTGAAAGTTCATAATTCCGAAAATGCAATAAACTTTGTAACACAGAAAAAAAGATACGCGGTTCTACATCATTTTTGGAATTACTAACCTTCGGATTTACGAATCCTATTTCATTTTCAGAAATACGTACCTTTGAAATGACCCTTTATTAGAACAACCAACCTTCATAACTATGAATCTGTTTGTGCGCGTGCGTGTGGGGGGGGGGGGGGGGGAGAGAAAGAGAGATGGAGGGGATATTGTTACGCTTCATGAAAAAACCCAATTCATCCCTATATTCCTTTTAAGAACCGAAAGACAAAAGATTTGACTTGCAGAGATTACATGAACAAATTCGTGACTCAATCCTTGACATAATAGAAATCATAATAGTATGCTAGCTAGCCTACTGATCGATTGAAGTAGAAATGTAAAATAATACTTATTCGATCACAAAGATAAGAAACTTTGACAGTTAGGCCCGATTTGCAAATGGAAAATTACCTTGAAAATCAGCAAATTGAAGATTTGGATCTGCTTCAACAAAGTCAACAAAGTCAAAGTCAAAGTCAAAGGTCCCGCTCATGCAGCTGCCTGGACCATCTGCAGCTTCCTGTAATACGCCCTGAGATTTCAAAAGTGTATTTTTTTACATATTACCCCCACCAGGCGCGGATCCAGGATTTCTTAGGGGGGGGGGCCCAAATTTGAAATTTTGCGAGCCAAATATTGGTACGTAATGGTGACCAACAGTGACGTAATGCGGGGGGGGGGGTCGGTGCAGGGAGGGGCGATTTCCCCCTCCCTCCTCCGCGAAACGCGGAAGCTTTGACGTTTCATTAAATTATTAGAGAAAAAAGACGATTCGTTGTACCGTTTTCGAAAATAATTCTCGTCTGAATTTAGTTTTCCCCCTCCCGCGCGAAGCGCGGAAAATTTTACGATTTATTAAATTATTAGAGAAAGAAGACGATTCGTTGTCGAGTTCTCGACTCTTTATCCTCGTCTGAATTTAGGTTCCCCCCTCCCGTGCGAAGCGCGGAAGCTTTTACGATTCATAAGATTATGAGAGAAAGAAGACGATTCGTTGTACCGTTTTCGACTCTTAATCCTTGTCTAAATTCAGTCTCCCCCTCCCCCTCCCGCGCAAAGCGCGGAAGCTTTTAAGTTTCACAAGATTATGAGAGAAAGAAGACGATTGGCTGTACAGTTCTCGACTGTTGCGCGGAAGCTTTTAATTTTCATTAAATCATTAGAGAAAGAAGACGTTTCGTTGTACCGTTTTCGACTCTTAATCCTTGTCTAAATTCAGTCTCCCCCTCCCCCTCCCGCGCAAAGCGCGGAAGCTTTTAAGTTTCACAAGATTATGAGAGAAAGAAGACGATTGGCTGTACAGTTCTCGACTCTTAATCCTCGTCTGGATTCAGGTTCCCCCTCTCGCGCGGAGCGCGGAAGCTTTTAATTTTCATTAAATCATTAGAGAAAGAAAACGATTCGTAGTACCGTTCTTGAAAATAATCCTCATCGGAATTTAGTTTTCCCCCTCCCTCCCGCGCGAAGCGCGGAAGCTTTTACGTTTCATTAAATCATTAAAGATTCGTATTACCGTTCTCGCCTCTGAATCCTCGTCTGAATTCAGGTTCCCCCCCCCTCCCGCGCGAAGCGCGGAAGCCTTGACGTTTCATAAGATTATGAGAGAAAGAAGACGATTCGTTGTACCGTTCTCGATTCTTAATCCTTGTCTGAATTCAGTCCCCCCCTCCCCTCCTGCGCGAAGCTTTGACGTTTCATTATATTATTAGAGAAAGAAGACGATGCGTTGTATCGTTCTCTATACTAATCCTTGTCTGAATCAGGGGCCGTCTTAGGGCCCCTGGGGGGGGGGAGGTTGAGGCGGCGGAGCCGGCCCCGGAAGCTCAGGGGTTTTTGGCGTTTAATTAAGGTCAGATGAGCATTTTTTTGTATACCTTATTATTTTGTGAGACTGGCACGTCACTATTTGGCGTGGGGTCCAGGGGGCGGAGCCCCAAAAAATCAGGGGTTTTAGGCATTAAATTACCGTCAGATGAGCATCTAAGGGCCCGCCGTAGGGCCCTAGGTGAAATCCAGGGGGCAGAGCCCCCGGAAGCTTAGGGGTTTTAGGCATTAATCACGGTCAGATGAGCATATTTTGATGCCTCATTATTTTTCAACACTGGCAGTTAACTATTCTTTCTTTCTTGCTCTCATTCTGTTTTATTTCTCTTTAATATACTTTTTCAAAAAAGTAGGGGGGGGGGGCTCGGGGCTCCCGATCCCCGCCGTACCTCGGGCCCTGACATGTAGGAATCTACTAAAAAGTGAGGAAAAATCTCGGAAATTATGTCATTTCAGCATTATTTGTAATCCCCCGTTGTGGAATTAGAAATAAACCACGTTTGAATTTGATTTCCCCAAGCCCCCCCTATCAGTACGCCAGTATCTCCTCTTTTCCTTTTTTCTTTCCCTTTCCTACCTTCTCTCTTATTTTTTTGATTGGGGGGGGGGGGGGGTCAACAGCCTGGGAGGCAAGGCCCTTTCGCCTTCCCCGATCTCCTTCTTCCCCCTTTTCTTTTCTTCTTCCTCTTCTTTCTTTCCCTTTCTCTCTTCTTTCTCTTTCCCTTCTTTTCCTTTCTTCTCTCTCTTTTTTTTTTTTTTTTTTTTTTGCGGGGGGGGGGGGGGGCCAAGGCCCGCTCGGCCCCCCCCCTGGATCCGCGCCTGACCCCCACCCCCTCATTATGCTCATATTAAAAGATTCAAAAATTAATTACTATATTACTGTTACATAATATAGGCTAATCAGAAAGAAAAAAATATTTATTCCCTTTTGCACAGCCTAATTGAATAAAAGAAATATCTATTGGGCTCACATAATATTTGCGTTTGGTTGATGTGATACAACTATTTTGCAATTACCTTTTCACTGTCCTGCCAAGATTTTTTCAGTGTACTTGATCTCTTTGAACCCCCCCCCCCCTCTCCCTCTCCCTCTCTCCCCCTCTCTTTCTTTCTATTTCTCTCTCCTTCCCTTCCTTCCTCTTCCCTCCCTGACTGTCTATCCTTTTTTTCCCGTATCTTTCTGGACAATTTATTAAACCTCTTTTTCCCTATCTTCTTTTTTTAATTTTAACCTAAATCCACGAGGCAAATTTAAAGTGCAAACTAATATGAACTCCGATACCCGTATCCAAGTACAATTTCTAGTGAGCCCTGTCCGATAAGTTCACTTTTGCAGAAAACGATATTTGTATTAATTTTGTGTTTCTTAGAAAACTTCTTCATATGGTATAATGAATATTTGTTTCAAAATACATAGGCATAATAATTATTACAATTATGGAAACAAATACACCCTACCCGCACCTCCAGTTAAAATTCAGACTGAGTATTTTGGAGGACCAAACAACCAAGAACCAAGAAGATAAATCTTTTGAAAGGTAAATGGAAACAAAAATTGAACATGTATATATTCATGAAATACTTCAAAGTAGATTGATTAGGCCTATGTGAAGAAAATGACAAACGTAATTCATAGAAAATCATTTGTGTTGACAATTTACCTACATGCATATTGCATTAATTATGCCAAATTATATATTGGTGAATCTGATAGCACTGATAATAGTGTAAATGATATTGTAACTTTTGTTTTTGCAGGCAGGGGGGGGGGGGGGGTACCGTTGTTCGAATGGTCAGAAACTCCTTCTTTGATTGTTGCTATATTTGTTATGTCGCCCTCTATAGTACTTTTCCCGAAATTTAGCGCCAACACGAAAACGAAATCCTCGAACACATCCTTGTAGAAAACGAGCTAAATACGCTTTATATTAACAATTATGCCTCGAGAAATTATTACCTTACAGCTAGGACAATGTGGGAACCAGAGTGAGTATGATAAACTGTGAATTTCAAAGGGGAGAAAGTGGCTGTTGATTACGTGACGTGAGGCAGTGAATATAAATTACATCGGTCCCAGACGTTCATTATGATGTTGTGATAGTAGTCTAACTTAGATCTAGATCTACCTGTATTAAACGAAAGTTGTAACTTTTATTTTTCGCCTTCTAGTATGAGCCTTTGGAGCTCACCAGCAGAGACTAAATAAAGTGCTCAGAATAGATAACATATACAGTAGGGGTGCTGGTCTGAAATTGAGCATTGTTCGCATGAACGAGGATTGGCTTCGTAAACGCAGACGTCCACATTATTATTGCAGACGTTTCTTAGATCTATTTCCAATCCGTGCGTTGGCGATGTAAAAAACTGATTCCTCAATTATTTTCTTGATGCATTTTACATTGACTTTGTACAGAGACTTTCACGTTATTTAATTATTAGCGATAAATCCTTGGGAAGACGGACAACCTAAAAGTAGTCTAGTTCAAGTTCAAGTTCAAGTTCAAGTTTATTCAAACCAATCAAACACAACATTTTACAATCAATTGACACAAAAGAAATATAAAACATGATAGGTTTGGGACCCCGGAGAAGCAGAGCTTGTGATAAGGGGCCCCTTAAAAGGTACATAAACAAAAACAAAATACCAGTATTTAGAATAACCGATGACAAAAACATATTTACAATGATAACTAATGAGTAAATATGGGAACAGAAAAAAGATAACACACATACACATACACACCCACGCACACACACACAGACACACGCACATACACACATACACACATGGCTTTCCAGGATTTACTTTAACATATTTTGTAATCTCTCAAAAAGATATTCTCGACATGTATGTTTAAACATAGGTAGTGTTGGACTGGATCTGATGTTTTGTGGCAACTTATTCCATTCTTTGATACAATTAATTACAAAAGAGTTTGAAGCAGTTTGTGTTCTCGCAAACGGCTGATGGATAAGATTTCTCTGACGTGTGTTGTACGAATGGACAGTCGAATTAACAATAAACGCATCTTTTAAAAATGAATTATTTTGAGCAGATTGAGATTTGTACATGAATATCAAACAATTCATGGAGACTAATTCATCAAGAGGCAACATCTGAAGTTGCACAAATAAAGGATTACTTGGACTTCTGTAATTTGAATTTGTAATGAGCCTGATAGCTTTCTTCTGAAGGACTATTAACTTGTTTATATGGCTCCTATACGTATTTCCCCATGCAACATTACAATAAGTTAAGTGAGGCATAATGATAGCATTATAAAGAGTTACTAAAGTTTGCTCTGGTAAAAAAAAGCGTAACTTAAAAATCACACCAACACTCCTCGAGACCTTGGTACAAACATTGCTGAGGTGATCTTTCCAAGTTAAATGATCATCAACTGTAACTCCAAGAAACCTTACATTTTGACTCCGGTTGATCAGATGACCACCTATTGTCAGGGGGTCAATATTATCTGGGATTCTTTTGCCCCTTGATCTAAAAACAACATATTGAGTCTTACTAGCATTTAACAAAAGTTTGTTGCAACAAAACCACTTAAATATATTGTGAACTTCATTATTTGCAGACAAAATCAGATTATGCATGTCTTTGTGGTGAGAGAGCAAGCAAGTATCATCAGCAAAAAGTGAATAAGTAAACAACTGAGATGAGTTTATAATATCATTAATATAAATCAAGAACAATAAGGGGCCCAGGACTGAGCCTTGGGGTACGCCATATTTTACCTTCCTAGATTGTGATTTAACTCCATTAACCACTACATACTGTAATCGATTATATAAGTAATTTTTAAACCATTTCAAAGCTATCCCACGAATGCCATAATGCTCAAGCTTGCTTAATAATATATCATGATCAATAGTGTCGAATGCTTTCGATAAATCCAAAAACACACCAAGACAAAACTTCCCAGCATCAATTGCATTTATAATAGTGTTTACCAAATTCAAGACACCCATACTTGTAGAGCAATTCTTTCGAAAGCCAAATTGTCTAGACGGTGAACTGGAGTTATTTTCTTACGCGGAATCTGTTTTTTTGCATCGCCTGCGCGTGGTTGGGGAACCCGAAACCCACAGAGCGCCGATGAAAAAAACATCCGCAAAAATGCGGACGATCCTTATTTTTTAGGATGCAATTTGTCCGTGTTTACGAGGATATCCTTGTTTATGCGGACGATCCCCATTCTCGGACCAACGTCCCTACTGATGAAGGAAATTAATTGACTGTTTGACTTTGAAATTTAATTTCTTTGACTTTCTGCCTGCATTGCTGCTATATTTAGCTTTTATAATCATGGTACGACTAACGTTCCGAGCATCGTTTCACAAAACCGCCATAATTTCAACTTCACCGACATCCCATTGAAAATGAAATGTGTGTTAAATTCGATACCTGCATTTCAATGGATTTTCAGGGAACTTGTAGTTGTACTCATGAGTGATTTTTTTTCTTCCGATCATTTTCAATTTTTAACATTCTGATTCAATGACATGAAAATAGATTTAAACATGGACTAGACCTACAACAACTTCAAATAAGAGAATTTTATCCAAGGTACATGTATGAGTGATTCCAGGTATTGGAGAGCTCAAAATTGTCAAATTTTGGAGGGAGATTTAAAGGCATCGTTTAACAATGTTTAACACCATATCACAGACACTGATAACGCATACGGCCGTGCATCTCAGATTTAACATTGTTAACGATGCCTTTGATTTGTCTTGTTCTTCCAATCTCTAGTTGGGATGGAGTTCTGGAAGCAGCTGTGTCTGGAGCATGGCATCAGCCCTGAAGGAATTCTGGAGGATTTTGCCACCGATGGAACTGATCGGAAAGACGTCTTCTTTTATCAGGTAATAAGTCCGGGCAATCCTCGTTTCTTGTCACTGCCTGTAGGAAAGCAAGATCTTTTGCTGCTGCTCTGTTCTAGGCCATATTGGTTTTTTCATATTTTCTGAACAATTCTTAAGGCTTACGTCTGGCACTTATCGTTTTGGAATCAGCACCCTCGAATTGACAAAACACCATAAAAAACATCATATATATTTTGTTTAAAAGGTTTGGGCCTTTTCCTATGGGGCCTAGCTTGAACTATAAATGGCCATTAGAAGCTTGAGGTGACCAGCTCTCTCACTCACATAATAACAATGACATTCCACGCCTTTTCAGGGATGCATAGATTAACATTTACAAGTGGAGTCTTGTATTCCTCTCATGTCTTGCAAATTGCTCCTCCTGATGGTGTATTATTATTTCGTTGGATTTAGCACAGGCAAATGAATTGATTTCTGCCATTTATAATTTACCTCCCCTAGGTGGAATGTGGCAAATTTAGAGTAATGTCTTGTCAAAGGACATTAGAACTTTAACAGTAATTTGAACCCCATGCCTTGTGTTTTCCAATCCAGAGAGTTATTCTCTGGACCACAACACCTCTACATCAGTGAATCTTCCTAGCACAAGCCCTAAACTAATCTACCAGTAACTCAAAATTCAATTGCATCTCATGCCCTATTGCTTTTTTCAGGGGGGGGGGGGCAAAATTAAGCCAAGAGTATTTACATTGGATAACACCATCACAAGATATAGCATAACCCCCTTGTCTTCAAAATTCCATTGAAAGGAACTGAGGTCATGAAAGTTAGTGTGATGTCGATCATACCAGAGCATAACTGGCAATCATTATCTCCACTCTAGATGGGTCATTACCATCAAGTTCACTCTCAATCATCAGATATTTCTAGGGCTCATAACAGGTCTTCTTATATACTTCATTTGGAGACATTCACTTTCACTCCAATGTTATTCTGTTGAATTAGTACAATATATATATATTTTCTGGGCATTTTAAGGTAACCGTTTCTGCAAAGTAAAATAGATGCTGTTTCTCTTACAGTTTGGGCCATCTGTGTTAGATAAGAAAAATTACAAATGGTAACAGTCGACCAATACTGTTTGTGTTAAGCACAAAATGCTAATCATTACTGATTTTATTTCCAACATGTAGTGTAAGCTCCTTTAAAAAGAATTATACCACTAATTCTATTTCTGTCATTATAGGCTGACGATGAACACTACATCCCTAGAGCAGTCCTGCTAGACTTGGAACCCAGGGTTATTCATGGAATCCAGAACTCTCGCTATGCTAATCTGTACAATCCGGAGAATATTTTCATCTCTAAGGATGGCGGTGGGGCAGGAAACAACTGGGCATCAGGCTATTCACAGGTTTGTTTTGGTGTTTGGTTGGTGCTTTTGTGAGATTCCAGCCGCTATACAGTTATTCATATTTTGTTACAGTGGCTGAGATATAAGGTTACTGTGCACTCAGGGATGCCACTTTTCAGGCTATAGAAAAGTCCTTTTTAATGTATAAAATAGTTCATTCTAGGTGATTTTCAGACCCTCTGATCAATTCTAAGTGGTATCCATGTGCACTATATTTCTGCAGTGAATGATTCTTTATACTAATGTGTCCTTATGGTTTTGTGTCAAGTCTATACTTGATTAGTTTTGCAGCACTTGGCTTATTTATGTTATTGTCAAAGATCCCTGGGAGTGCTTGAGTAAGACACAATTATTTTTTGACAGATCTTTAATTGTATTCATAAGTATGCTGTATTAGTATTTTATTTTGTTTTATTGCTTTGCAGGGTGACAGAATGATCACACAAAGAGGTATTCAACATGAATGCATTTTCTTTTTTGCAGGGTGAGCAACTATGAGAGGAGATACTTGAAATCATAATTGAGTTTTGTTTTTACAGGGTGACAAGCTCTGTGAAGAAGTATTTTCACAACAATTTCTTCTTTTTTTTTTTGCAGGGTGAAAGACTGTATGAAGAGGTATTTGACATCATAGACAGAGAAGCTGATAACAGTGACAGTTTGGAAGTAAGTGGATAGGAATTATTCTTTTGTTTGCAGATCTCTGTAGATCATGTCTTTCCAAGTCACTTCATCTGTATTTATCAGAGCATCTGCTCATTTTCAATCTACTTTCTTCACTTCTCCTTGCATCTACTTCTCTCATGATCTCCCTCCTCCATCTCTCAATGTGCATGTCAATACTCTAATAATAATAATAATATTCTGTGTTTATATAGCTCTCAATACATCGATCCAACGATGTGTCTAAGCTCTTTACAGATATACTATTACCCCGGTCATCGGATTTAGGCCTACCCGCATACTCTCTTTCTAAATGTAACAGAAGAAAATATTTTACTGCACAATTTTTTATAATAATGATTCTTTGTCACTATCAGAGCTTCTGTATTACTGCAGTGAATCTATTTATAACATTTGAGTAAAAACTTTGACATCCTGCAGTTGAAAGTGTCTGTATTGTTTCAGAAATCTTAATTTGGAAGGCTTCTTAAATTCTTATGTCACACATATTTTATGAAGACTTGTTTACACGTATCTGATCAATGGGTTATGTTCCTAACAATATTTTGTACTGTGCCACAGAGTGACAAGCCCATCTGCATAATAATAGTGAATATTAATAATGCGCCATGTCTGTCAAAAATGACACTCCTGGCGCAGTTGTGTGAAAATTGTATAATTGTGGGCACACGACCATCAAGTGATTCAATAAAGAAAGTAAAATACACATAAGTTATAGTTAAACATACTTCAGGACATAATTTTTCAATAATAGAATTACAATTAAAAAAAAATTAAACCTAAAAAGTGAGGTTACATATGCTTAATACACAGGTATGAGTTAAAGCATATAGGATGTACTGTTGCTTAATAATACCCAATACAAAGTATATTACAGTAATACAAGTAGGGTAGTACAATGTAAGACATACCGTATTTGCCTGGCGATAAGGCCGCACTCCAACTTTGACATTTCAAAGAGGGGGGGGGGGGGGGGGGGGGGGGAAGGAAAAAAACAAAAACAAAAACAAAAACAAAAACAAACGGACAAAACAAAGTAATCGTAATTTTCTCTTAAAACACTGTTTATTTTTAGAAACTGATACCAAATTCATCAATATTCTTATAATTTACCGGAAGTTTAGCTAAAAAAGTGATCGCAGGCATATTTGGTGTCCGATATACACCTACCACAATGTACGGTGTAATGCGAAATGGCATGAAATGGAAAAACAAAATGGCTACTTCGGATGGATGCTTCGCGGATTGTCTGTTAAACGGTCCCTTCCTTTACTTTTGCAACCCATTGGCACAAACTTAGATCAAGATATATATCGGCAAATGTTGTTTTAGGAAGTTATTTTCATCTTCATGTCAACAATGCAAGATAAAATTGTCGGTAAGATGTTTGAAAATGTCCTGTACCATAGTGGTATAGTTATTTTACCGTTTGTAGTCCCATATGGCTAAATTCATGCTGGTTTTGACTTAGCTTCTTTTTTTTTTTTGTACTCTTTCGTCGTATACGCCGCACCCCGACTTTTTGATATTTTCTCTTCCAAAAATACTGCGGCCTTTACGCCGGCAAATACGAAATTTAACAAACTAAAATGTTGAGAACAGAAATGTTTTTTAATAGATATCAATGTTTTCTGTTCTTTATAGGGCTTTGTATTGGCCCATTCCATCGCTGGAGGAACCGGGTCAGGTATGGGATCCTACATCCTGGAGAAGCTCAATGACAGGTGAGATCACTTTGATGACATCATAGGGTCAAAGGTCACATAGACATTGCCTTAATACAAATATTTGGAATTATTATAATGATATTATTCTAGATGTATATACCGTTTCATAAATATCAACGATGTCTCTAAGCACTTAACAGAAAATACTTTCAAACCTTAACCAATGAAACGGAAGTTAGATTAGCATGCAGGATTTCTCGCTCAAGTTTTATGGTGTCTCGAGGCCGCCATATTGTAATCAAAATGTACGCAAAACCGTACCAAAACTTTGTATTACCTTTAAAGTTACATTCTAACATGTAATTTTGCGTTTTTCTGTCTTTGTTTCTGTCTCTTCCTACAGGTTCCCTAAGAAGTTAATCCAGACCTACTCTGTGTTTCCTAACCAGCAGGAGATCAGTGATGTCGTAGTCCAACCTTATAACTCCATGCTGACATTGAAGAGACTTACCCAGAACAGTGATTGTGTGGTAAGCTCTCTCAAGGTTTCAAGACCAGTGATCTATAAGAATGTTAAACTGTAAAGTGACTCAGTAACATTGCCTCAGATTTTGAAACAAAATCCTGGATTTAGCTCATGTTGCAATCATAATTATAAACCTTTAGGTCAGTCAGGAACCCCTTGACTTTTACAAGCTGATCGTCTGTCTGATTATCAAGATATTTATGATTGGAATTACAAAATTTGAAAACCGTTCGCCAAACGCTTTTCATAACACTACAGTCTATTGGGGAAAATGAGTATGGTAACACCGGTCACTCAAAGATTTGTACTATTTTGAGGCACTTCATGAACATTTTGAAGCGTGATTTGTTTAAGGCTTCAATATTACACCATATCACAGACACTGATAACACATAGGACCATGCATCTCAGATTTAACATTGTTAAACAATGCCTTTAAGCTAACATCGCATGCCTAATGTGTAATTTCTGTGCACATTCCTGATTTTTTACCTTTTTAAAAAATTCAATCCCAACTTTCTGATTCTTATCCTATTATCTTTGTATTCTAGGTTGTACTTGATAACACAGCTCTAAACAGGATAGCTACAGAGAGACTTCATCTTCAAAAACCAGACTTCTTACAGATCAACCAGATGGTAAATATGTCTCTTAAATACTCAGCCATTGTCTGTTATTATGAAGAAATGAAACATTGAGAGCATTAGTTGTTTGAGTGGTAGCTAACCAGTCAGTGATCCAATTTCTAGAAAGTTAAGTAATAATAGGTTATGAAAAGTTAGTTTTGTTATTATTTTTTTTTGGGGAGGGATGTGGATTTTGGTTTTGGTTTTTAATGCAGAAATTGTCCATATTGTTAACTGAAATATTCTAGTATCTCTGTATATATATCCTGTGCAAAGTAATACATTTGATCTGTAATGATTATTCTAAAAGTGTCATGTATTTGAAAATGCTGATCTGCATTTATTGAAAAAAACTTATTATCATGTTGAAACCAGATTCTCCAGGAAGAAGATATTTTTCATCTTATTCACACCTTTTCACTTCCTTTGATCCGTTACACTGTGCTTTGGTAAATTCATTGTTCTGGGCCATATGGGCTATTCAATTCAATTCAATTCAAAATGGTTTATTTCAAATAAAACTTTCATCGCGGCGTTTAGCCAAATTACAAAAGTTTACAAACAAAATTAATAACACATAATAAATGTAATATTTAACATAGCATAACATGATATATTGAATTTGTAAAATAAATCAGTATAAATACGAGAAATATAGCTTATTGCAACATTTGGAAACATAAATTAGAAAGAAATCTAAATTAAATAGCATTACGGTAAATAGCACTGAAATCATGTGAAAGAAGCACTAAAGTATTAGCAATAAGCGGTAAACGGAGCAAGTGTCTATGTGGTGGGAAAAATTGAGAGTAAAACTGAAAGGTGAGGAGTAACGTTTGCAAATACATTTTGCTTTATATCTTTACATGTGATTTATTTGTACCCCTGTTTTTTTTGTTCATTATGAAATACAACATTCTGACTAATCTCTACTCTAGGTATCGACCATCATGTCCACGAGCACTACCACGCTGAGATACCCTGGCTACATGAATAACGATCTGATTGGATTGGTAGCCTCACTCATCCCCACCCCTAGACTACACTTCCTCATGACTGGATACACACCTCTCACTCTAGGGACAGATACAAAGGTAAATAATAATAATGTAGTAATAATTATATTTGCTTATATAGAGCCTAATACTTACTTTATCAGAAGTCTCCAAGTGCTCTACAGTAATGCAGCATAAATACCCTGCATGGCTTTAGCAGTGCAGCTGTCACATGCTCTGCATTTGAAGGAATAAATTTGTACCAGGTCCCCATTTACTTCACCTGGTGGAGTGTGGCAAATGTAGATCAATGTCTTGCCAAAGGACATCATTGGTTGGTTTTATAGTGCTCATATCCACCTCGCAAGGTGCTCAAGGCGCTCCAATATTAACCCAACTACCGATTTTGGTGGTCACAGCATTCAAGGAATTCCTTTCTACTGGTACCCATGTGACACCTGGGTGAAGAGTAGCAAATTTAGATTAATGCCTTGCCAAAGGACAGTAGTGCCACCACAGGACTTGAACCGTGTGATCCACAGTCCGATGGTGTATCCGCTAGAAGACGACGCCCCTGAATATGTTGGAAAAGTTTCTTCATGAAATTGAACACTTCAAATCATGTCGCATAAATCTCTCTATATATAGGGCTGTATGAATGCATCACTATCATCATTATTCCTTCCGTTTGGCTACTGTGAGGGCGTATTGCTTTACTTACACAAAGGCTTTTCGTCATCCTACCAGGTCCCCATTTCTCTATTGAGTATGGAGTGGGAAATGTAGATTTATGCCTTGCCAAAAGACATTAGTGCCATATCCGGGAACGACATCACGACCTTTGAATTTCAAGTTCAATGCTTAAACCACTTATCACGACACCTCTCGTTTCTTGTCTCTTCCATTCAAAATCCCAGCTAGCAAGCGTCAGGAAGACGACCGTCCTCGATGTGATGCGCCGTCTGCTACAGCCCAAGAACATCATGGTTTCCACCACGTTGAGAGATAAACAGAGCAGCCATTGCTATATCTCAATCCTCAACATCATACAGGGAGAAGTGGACCCCACGCAGGTATGTTGATTGATACTTTATTTTCTTTCATTTCTTCAAATTTCTGGCACAGAATACAGTATACAAATACAGTCAAACCTGCTTTAATGACCACCTGTCTACAAAGAACACCTGTCTACAAAGACAACATTTTTTGTTTCCCTTGAAATCGAAACATGTACTAAATGAAACTGTCTACAAAGACCACTTTTTGAGTTTCCCTTGGGTGGTCGCTATAGACAGGTTTGACTGTAATACATGTTTGCGACTGAGTTAGTGAATATGCACTGCACGCAGGATAAGACACGGTAGGATAATGAACAAGACTTGATGAGTTCATTGTTGCCCATCTCATTGTGACTTAACCAAGAGCAGTGCATATCACTAATGCATGAGCTAAAAACAAGTATTATTGTTTCATCAGATAAGTCTACAGTATGAGTATAAAGTCCAGAAATTGACGGTTGTTATCACCAAAATGTACTCCCTGTGCATATGGTAAAAATGAATGCACGCACACGTGATCCATTTCAAGGCCTTTCATTGGCTACATTTTTTAACCCATTTTATAAACAGGCATAACAAATAGTCGTTTTGAAATTAAAACCAGATGTTCATGTAGCAACTACTGTAACGTTGGGAATATCCCTGAGAATTGTAAAGCTTTGTTGGAAAGCTCCGTTCATTGAAATGTGCTGAGCTATGAAGCATGAAACAAAATTTGTAAAAAAAGGAATTTAGGTTGCAGTTTTGTTGTGTGCTGTAAATTACACGACCCAAAAGCAATTCATGAAATTCGTTGAGATAGAATATTAAAAATGAAAGCACATAGATAATTTAATGACGTCAATGGAAGAGACTAAAATGCCATGGATTATGCATTTTTTTTGTTGCTTTTTAGGTCCACAAGAGTCTGCAGAGAATACGAGAAAGGAAACTTGCTAACTTCATCCCGTGGGGACCAGCAAGTATCCAGGTATATCCATAATAATTGAACTTCACTTGATACCAATTTGTTCTAGTATGTTTGGTAGAAACTCTTTTTTTTTTGTAATGACCAAATTTAGCAACATTACAGCATGTTTTCTCAATTTTTTTCCCTCAAACTCATCAGTATAATAAGAGGAGATAAACTTGTACCATACATTATGATAACTCTTATGCTCGAATCTTTGCAATATACATTCCACCCTGTTTCACCACATCACGCTTGCAGGAGTGTTACATACATACATCAGGTGTTGTACTCCGTATGATGTAAACGTGCTTGAGGGGGAGGGAGGGGGGTCAATACAATAGTAGTAGTGTGATTATCACTATTAGTTATAAGCTTTGGAGTGTTGATAGCAACTATGAAGCAATTTTTTTCTCCAAATGAATCCATGAAATATCCATGCAATTCAATTTCAGAATTTCAAGTAATTTTTTTGTTTAAATCCCTTAGGTTGCTCTTTCTAAGAAGTCTCCCTACGTCCAGACAGCCCACAGAGTCAGTGGTTTGATGTTAGCAAACCATACCAGCATTGTCTCGGTAAGTTTCATTTTTGTCTCCTATACACCTTCAAAAAGTTGTCTTTTGTGCTGACTATATGAAATCATTCATAAATCATTGCTGTATCATTCTCTTTGAATTGTAGGAAACCTCTTTTGAGATGAAATGCATTCGAAGTTGTGCAGGTTATAACAATTTGGTATTATCAGCAATCACATAAAAAAATTGATCTCTGAAATGTGTATTTGTTGTTGCTTTGTTGAGTGGCCTGTTAATTTGGTTAATGCCTTACAAGGTTTGCATCATTTTCTACACATGTTCTTCTTTGGCAATGCAACTACATTCGTGTGCATATCTGGATGACTGGGGGTTTTTTTTTGGGGGGGGGGGTTACATTTGCAGGTTGTTGTGTTGTTTTTTTGAGAGAGAGGGGAGGCTTTTTTGTTTTTTTTATATATTTTTTTGTTTGTGGTTTTGTTTTTGTTTCATTTGTTTTTGTTTGACGTTCTTTCGTGTTTTGTTTTTGTTTACTTTTTTTGCTTTTTTTTGTTGGTTTGTTTTTGGATTTATTTGTATGGTGGAATTTGTTTTGATTTTCAATTGTAGAATACGGTACACCTCTCTCTACAAGGCTTTTCCTTGAGAAATTAGTTGCTAGATTACAAGAGAGTAAAGAATCGATTCTATGCTTGTATTTCACTCCAGCTGTTTGAGAGGACATGCAGCCAGTTTGACAAGCTCCGCAAGCGTGAGGCTTTCTTGGAGCAGTTCCGCAAGGAGAATATCTTCAAGGATAATCTTGATGAGTTGGATGATTCACGGGAGGTCGTCCAGCAGCTGATTGATGAGCTCCATGCTGCAACCAAACCAGATTACATCTCATGGGGTACACAGCAGGTGAGAAGGGTGCAGTGGAACTTTGATCAGTAGCTTTGAATAAGGAACTTTGATAAGTTGCTTGGAATGAGGAACATTGCTTTAACACTTGAATGGGCGATTCATTATCTGATGATAATAATAATAATTTGTTTTTATATCAGGGATGCCAATTTTCAGGCAATAGCCTGAATTCAGGTCCTGGCAAGTTATTTTCAGAACATAGTTCAAAAGTTACAATAGTTATCATAGTTACAAAATAGCTTATTCTAGGTGATTTTAAGGCCCTCTGATCACTTCTAACTGGCATCCCTGTTATATAGCTCATAACATATTTTGATATAACTTCCCTAGGCGCTTCCAAAGAGCTTTGGAAATTATTACCCTAGCATTAGCTCCAGCAGCCGTTATCAGTACACAGTGCCACAGTGCATTTAAGGGTAATTGTAAGATAGGTTTGCATGAAAATTGAATTAATCATTATACTCCAATAATGTGTTATCTTGTTTTCTCTTCTTTTCTATCCCCAGGCCGCTCAAGCTTCCAAGTCATGAGAACAATGAGGATCAAAGCTAGCCATAGGCAATGTCAATCGTTGGAGCTAGCTCACGCTGAACTCTTAAAAACAAGGACATTTGCGCCTATTGATCTTTAACCAGCCTCTGCTCTTGGAAATGTCAATCTGCACTATGGGATTGTCACAGAGAGTGGGTTTCCCAAGGCTGTTAATGTATTTCCTTTAAAACGTTTAATATACAGGAGCAACTGACATTTTGCAGAAGTGACCTTGAAGCCTAGAGGCAATTAGCCCGGTGAAATACGAACTGTCTACATCTGTACCGGAAAATGCACCTATATTGAAGTCCACAGAAAGATTGAAACTGCTGAAAGGAATTCACCTTCATGTTAAAAAATCAGCTTTGGAGAATATAACAAATGTTCACCTTTATCCAAACATTGAACACAAAACTTTTCTAATCTTGAAGGTTCTTTTATTTCATTGCATCAAATCACAATTTAATAGTTGCGGTATACATTATTGTGGATGGAAAATTCCACAAGAGATAAATCAGACACTTCCGTAGATCTTAAAATGACTCAACTTCTTTATGTGCTTTTCAGCTATTGGACAAAAATAAGCTTTACCACCATTTCTTCTATTTCATGCACTAAAAATTTTGGTCATATGAATACCGTAAATTGAACAGTTTTTCTGTGGCTCTAAGTTACATTAATTCTCATCAGATGTGAATACAATCATGATACTATGTATATAAATTGTTTCCACTATTTGGTACACTACTCAAATGATACATTGTAATGCAATGATACATGTCTATTATCAGACGCCAGAAACATGATCAATGCCTTGTATGTCTTCATGATTCGTAAATGAAAAGAAATAGTCGTCTTTGTTATTCTTGGTTTTATTTGAAAGAGGACCTTAGCTGTGGAGTAACTATATCTATCAGGAGCGCAGGGTCAATGTCAATGCTCATGTCAGCCCTCAAGACTTCCCTGTTCCCAGCTATGACATCATCTCAAGAATAATACTAATGTAAAAAAAAAACTAATGGAAATAACCTTAATTTGAAATACTGACCAGGATTGTTATATATGTGAAACATTGTAGAGCAAGCACCATGAGCGCCAATCAGAGGGGGAACAACAGAGCTTTACAAGAAGACATCATCATCATCATCATAATATTTAGATCTTTGGTCCGGGGCCCTGTTCCATAAAACTTGTTACCAATAACAAGTGTCACATTTCTATGACAAATTTGCCATCAGCCAATCAAATGCAACGATTTCAGTAGCTTATAACAGTTATTGCAACTTGTTATTGACAACAAGGTTTGTGAAACAGGGTCCTGATTAAATTTAATAAACCTTGGCAGTGGATCAGATGCATTAGTGGACTGTTTGAATTGTCTTCCAGTGGTACATGTCCATAAGTACTCGCCAGCAAAGGAACGTTGTTTTGTCAGTTTGTTCATAGATTTTGTATCAAGAAAAAGATGCAATTGAGCACTAAAAGCAGTAGAAATATCAAGCTCATTTAGTTTTTCTAAAATAGTGGAAGGATTTGATTTTGGAGAAAAGTGCTATAAATACATGTACTGTTACTTCTTAGTTGTTTTCGCATTATTTTGTTCTTTGGGCATCTTAGAGAAAGAGAAGTAAATTTGTAGCCATGTTCACAGTGCTTTTTTGACTCTCCAATTTACACCCCAGTCATATTATTATCTTATGCATAGCATTTCTTAAGAACTAAATAGCGTTACAACTTGCAAAATGAATTGTAAAAACTGTACAGAAATTGACCAGTGAATATACATGTACCACTAATATTGGAAAAAAAGTTGTACACAATATGGTATACTGTGATAGCCTTTAAGCAAATGTATATAATTGTAAATTGTAAATGCAGTGCCTGTTGTCTATAAGATGTAAATTACTTATTTGTATCGTAAATAAACAATTCAAAATTGTGCCTACAAATGAAACTTTTGTTCTTTGGTTTGTACTAAACTAAAGCTGTATCAAAGTGTGGTTTGAGTAAAGTCTAAACAAATCCAATACATACGCTTTCCCATGCATTGTATCACTACCTTCTGATAAAAGGCAGCAATAATTTGAAGGGAATAAGATAAGTCATACTCTAATAAGAGACAATGTGGAAATGCCATATTTCAAAATCTAGGGGGGGGGGCTTTACTTTGTTGTTTAGCATGGTCACATTCTAGAATACAAACCGTTTGGCCTTTATTGGGCAACATTCCTTCGTTAAAGGGGAAGTCCACCCTGAAATTAAGTTAGTTTTAATAGGAGTAGAAAAATGAGAGAAACAAGTCAGTGAAAGTTTGAGCAAATTCCGATTAAAAATAAGGAAGTTAGGATTTTTGAAGTTGTGATCAATCAAACACAAATTGGCAACTCTATGACGTATCATGCGAGCTCAACTTCCATTTACTCAGTACTAAAAAAATCTAAAATTTTCATTTTCCCTCAAGAAAAATTTCAACCATACATGCACCCTAAATATAATAATTGCAAATATGTTTCTATACTCCCCCTGCAAGGAACAAATATATATTCCGTCATCAATAACGAAGAAAACATGATTTTATGGAATATTATGCACAAAGCAAATGAAGGAGAGCTCGTATAATAAGTCACAGAGTTGCCAATTTGTATTTGATTGGTCACAACTTCAATAATTCATAACTTTCTTATTTTCATTCAGAATTTGCTCAAACTTTCACTCACCTGATTTTCTTATTATTCTGCCTCTATCGAAACAAACTTATTTTGGGGGTGGACTTTCCCTTTAAAGACATTAGCGAACTTAAAAATATAATTATAGGGCAATCCAACACTTTTGGCTAAAGGGGTTTCATCATTTTTTTGTTAAAGCCTTATCACTTTAATTAAAGATACTTGGGCCTCTATGCTAGACAAATTTCAAATTAAAATTCTTTTTCATTTTTTGATATGACTTTTGTTTTCCTTAGTCATAACACATTGAGAATGATCCGCTTTTTGGATAATAATTTAAAAAATAAAAAAGCAATTTAGGTTCTTGGACAATTACCCCCAGAACAATCAGCCCGGGCCAATTACCAGCGGGACAATAACCCCCCCCCCCCCCCCCCCAAGAACAATTACACCACCCCCCCCCCCCCCAAAAAAAAACGATCTGCTTTTATTAAAACCAACTTGATATCAGGGTGGACCTCCCCTTCCCCCCTTCCCATTTTCGGGGGGAGGGGCGTAATTTTCAGGGGTTGGAAATAATTCTAGACGCGGTAATTGCCCTAGGAAGTGATTTTCAGGGGTTGGGGAATGTCAAGAGGGTATAATATATAATGGACAATTGTGGGCAAATTTCATGATTACCATAAAACATAAATCAATAGGATGATGCAAGGCCCTATTGTAGGAGTGAGAATAACTGACCTCCCCTTAATTTCCAAAGCATAAATTCTCTCCCCCCCCCCCTCTCCTTCCCTGGGATGGGTTGAGAGCCCGGCCCCCCCCCCCCCCACTCAGGTTTCGAAATGACCGCATGCGTGTTGCCAAAATGTCCTTTTCGTAACAAAAGAAAAAGGTCGACCCGTATTGACTTTACACACCGGACTTTTGCTGAAAAGGGGGGGGGCCGGGGTGCTGAAAAAGGCTCGTATACAAAAGAAAAAGGTCGAGCCGTATTGACTTTACACACCGGACTTTTGCTGAAAAGGGGGGGTCGGTTGGAACACGCATATGCGTACCCTAAATAACACTGAGTGGGGGGGCCGGGGTTGAGAGAACAAAACATATATACCTCGAACCCCCCCCCCCCCCCCCGGCCGCCCCCGGCCTCTCCCCCTAGATCTCCCCTGTGCAGCAAATTATAGGCCTATATAATATCTATTTGGAAAAATGCGAAGAGCATGAACGACGTTTTATCATACACAAAATTATAAGAATTATAATAAATCCGGGTAAATGAACCCCGATAGGCCGGTATCACCAAACAACAACAACAACATGCATTCTCATGATATGATATGACCCGATACGATTTGACCTGGCGAAAGCTAATAGCTTCCGTTACGCTGCTGCTTGAAGGAACCGGTGCTGTTGGGCTCAAGTCCTCTTTTTAATTTGAAAATTGCTGTTGAGATCAACTTAAAATTATGTCTCTCGTCAATATAGCCACTAGGCGACTTCTTTCGCAAGCCAAGGTATAATATTTTGTATCTGTAATTCCATTATTTCAGCCCTTTTTTCAGGTATATCATCGCGTTGGGAGGCGTTCATTTCACCGGCACAGTGCTTACCGACGCGTCTTCGCCCGTGGCCGTGACTAGCTGTCTGTGCTGTGGCTGCAGTGCACTACACACACGCTCCACATGCATACACCAGCTACAGACGTAGTATAGGTCTAGAGGCGCACTGCTGCAGCCAATATGGGAGACTCTATGTCTCGAAGTAGAAGACAGTATAATGTCAGAGACTTTTTTCAAGATTTTTGGTTGAATGTTACTGTTAGGGAGAGAATACACCCGTCAGTGGCCTGTACTTAATCGAGCTGGCGGGGTAACCAAACTCCAAAGTTTGCGTTTGCAGAGATTTTGAAAATAGGTCTAGACCTAGATCTATACAAAATGTGATCAGGGGCGCTGGTCCGAGAATGAGGATCGTCCTCATAAACAAGGATATCCTCTTAAACGCGGACAAAATGCGTCCTCAAAAATATGGATCGTCTGCATTTTCGCGGACGTTTTTTTTCATCGGCGCTCTGCGGGTTTCAGGTTACCTAACCGCCCAGGCGCCCACTGGCGATGCTAAAAATAGATTCCACTTAGCCTTAAGAAAATAATATAGTTCACCGTCTATTTTTATGGGTTGTCCATCTTCCCAAGGATTTATCGCTCATAATGTGTAAGTCTTTGTAAAAAGTCATTGTAGATCTAAAATGCATCAAGAAAATCAATGCAGAATCTGATTTTTGCATCGTCAACGCGCCGTTCAAAAATATGAAACGTCTGCGAAAATGTGAACGATCCTTATTTTTTATGACGCATGGGTCCGCATTTACAATAACAGTCCTCGTTTATGCAGACGATCCTTATTCTCGGACCAGCGCCCCTACTGGCTATTCAATTCGATCTAAATTTTCTTGTATTTTACACCAATTCATTTATTTCAATTATTACCAAATACATGTAGACGGCAAAGTTTTTTTCTTCAAATTGGTTCAACTAGAAAATTTATCATCAAAGGATTCCGGAGATATCGCAATCTAAAAATTTGATGTCGGATCGGCGTGCGCGCTGCAACTAACAAAGTCATAAAAACAATGAAACCTTACTTCGGTCGAGAACAGGGGTTTACAGTACAGCTAATTTATAAAAAATGTGATCCATCAAAAATAAGGTAATTCATAATTTGCAAGGCAGGATTTCATACAATCAGTTGGTGCCATACCACTTCTTACTTACAATTTTGAAGATATCTGCTCTCAAAATGATGATTTCCAGACCCTTATCAGTAATGATGGGCAGTATCTTTTGATAGAAACATCGGTGAGTCTTGAAGTTTGAAATGTGTTCTTCTGAGTAGTTGATTTTTTTAATTAGACTAACCGTAATGGTGAAAAACGATCCAGAAGGGAAAACTGTAAAATCGTTCAGACACCCTTGTATATAGCATTGGTTTTCTCAGTAAAATCAAGAATGTATTTTACCTAAGCTATGATTTCTTGAATGTTTTGGCTGTGATGATAATGATAAAATTGTTCTCTTCTTTCACAGAATGTCCTTCCTGCATTTGGAGCTGGAGTCAGAAATGCATCAGAATTAACAGTAAGTACAACATTTAAAGGTAATACAAAGTTTTGGTAAATTTTGAAAATTGGGTGGATAGTGATTCTTAACAGTTTTGATATATTTGGATGTCCCTGTGGATGTATTATAAGCACTAGAAAAATTAGCCCCTAAAACACTTCTGCTTTCGAGAAAAATTGAATATAAAAATTTACCGGTGCTCCCGGTAAATTGTGATAAATTTCAAATAGCGCCTACAGCCATACAGTGGTAGCTGCGACCATGAAAATCTCAGAATATGTAGATGTGACATAATAATTACCAAACGGGAATAGATAATTGGTCGATTTTAGTCAAGAAACATTGTTTTATAAATAGCTTAATTAATATATTGACCTTGAGAGGGAGCTATACAACATAAAGAGTGTATTATTTACAATTTCATAACTTTAGACTCGATTTCTACCGCGACAACGATCACTGAATATTGTAGGATCGCATATGCGTTCCAATATGCTCATTTGGACCAAATTCATGACCCCATACCAAAGCTTTGTATTACCTTTAACCTTTTTTTTTTGTCTGCTGCTACTCTGTCAAAAAGTTAAAAGTGTGGAGGAATAATGGACAGTGCACGCTAATCACATTAAATTTTTCAGCCGAGAACACGGCATTCTTCCAGATTCTTGGGTTAACCCTTACTGTACTGGGGGGGGGGGGGGGCCTGGGAGGCCCCCCCCCCCCCTCGACATTTTCGGAGATTGCGTCGCAACCGCTTGGAATTTTGAATTGTCGTTTCATGACTTTTTTCCCTCAAGTCTTACGCACATTTTGATACCATTTTCGTCGAAATCGGATATACCTGTAAGGCGTTACATAACAATTAGTATGCGCATGTCATCAAAATAAAATTTAAAAAAATAAAAATCGCATCAAAATTTGCATAAATTATCATTATTAATTACATTAAAATAACTTTTTTGTGTAAGAAAAGAAGTTTCATATGAATAATGAGTTTCAACATTCAAAAAGTGGAGTTTGACACGTTTTCTGTAAAATGCATAAAATTAGCGCATTTTGCATAATTAATTAGGCCAACGACAAAAATTTGCATATTCGGAAAAAACTAATTATACCATCTTGTTCCTTACGTAAATATCTACAAACATGCAAATTTTCGTGTTCATCGGACAATCGACGGCCGAGATCATAGGGGGGGGCCTCCCAGGCCCCCCCCCCCCCCCAGTCAGAGGGTGCTCAAAATAGCCCAGTACAGTAAGGGTTAAGGTAAAGGTAAAGTAGGGTACATGAGCATTTGTCTACATCAATAACCCACTCTTGTAATGTCCAAAATTAAACTCATTGAATCTTTGCGCAGCACAAAACGTACGACCATTCAGTACAATGGTCTGAAATCAGACTATTACTTACTGACTTGGTAGCACTTAAGTTGATTCGACAACAAATATTATTTGTTATTTTCCCACTTAAAGACATTTTCAAGCCCCCCCCCCCCCCCCATTTTTTTTAGGGAAGTTCTAAATTAGTATTATCTTTCAAATGCCGTTGGAATTTAACCTTTTCATTTTTTGGGGCCTGCAAATGGGACATACTGTACATAAAGGGATAGTTGAGTTCTGTTGCAGAGGGCGCTACACTAAATAATTTTTTGTGAGATAATGAAAAACTGAGTGTAAAATTTGAAAGAACATACAATTTAAATGACAAAATCATCTTTGTTTGATCAAAATCGGTTCAGAAACGGCTGAATAATCCATAAATATAACGATTTATAATACTTGTGTACCACCACAAATATTAGATAATTTGAAAAAGTCGTTTGGGGTCTAAAATTACCTTCATAGCAATTTTAGGTTCTAAAAGGGCACTAGAAATGTCAATGATAAGAATAAGAGCAATAACCATGCACTTTGAAGGCATTTGCGGTCTGAAAACAGAACTCAACTATTTGATTTGATTTGATTTTATTTTATTCAGACAATATAAAAATATATACATGTCTTGGGTTACAAAACAAGGTTTAGAAAAACCCATACAAGTTTGCATCCCAGATATGGACAGTAAAATGGCATACATAATTACACAGTAAATACTAATACATAAAATATCGAAGTATGACATAGGTTATAGTTCAATATAAATACAACAACAGAAATACAAGTTAGAAATTGCAAGACACTTCTATTTTAAAAATCTAGATTGAGATGTTTTACCAGAGCCGATTTAAAGGTATTTAGCAATTGACTGTTTACTACTGTTTGTGGGAGTTGATTCCATTCATTAATTGTTTGGGGATAAAAGGATTTCATATAATAGTCTGTTCTGGCATATGGAACGTGCATCTTAAAAGTATTATCATTTCTTCCTATTCTGTTCGCTCGTGTGCACCTATTTACTTCTCCTACATTAATCAAGTTATTTACAATCTTATAGTAAAAAACAAGTCTATGGTACTTTCGTCTATTTTCTAATAAATTCATTTTGACATTTTGTAATAACACGTTATAACTCGTAGACCAATCCTTACACATCATCCTTACGTAACGTTTTTGAATACGTTCAATCCTCTCTTTGTGTGTGTTTCTATAGGGATCCCATGCTGTACAACAATATTCTAAACGTGAGCGAATTAGTGATTCAAAAAGACTTTTTAAAATAGACTTTGGACAATTAACAAAATTCCGTCTTATAATTCCCATGATCCTGTTACATTTTGTATATAAGTCAGTGCAATGGTCGTTCCAGTTTAAAGAATCATTTATTACAAGACCTAAGTATTTTTCAGACTTTACATTTGTTAACTCCTGTCCATTGAGAGAATAATTATATGTTATATCGTGAAGCTTTCGAGACATTTTCATAGTTTTACACTTTGATACATTAAAGTCGAGCATCCATGTTTCAGACCATTTACTTAAAACTTCTAAATCATTTTGTAATATCTTGCAATCATCTACATTGAAAATTGGACGGTACAATATACAATCGTCCGCATATAATCGAATAGTTGATGAAATATTATTAGGCATATCATTAATGAAACATAAAAACAATATCGGGCCTAAAATTGTTCCTTGCGGAACGCCTGATTTAACTTTGATCCATGAAGAACATTCGCCATTTATAACCACCCTTTGATATCTATTCTGTAAAAAATTCATTATCCATTCTAAATTTTGAGATCTTACACCATACATTTCAAGTTTTGTTCTTAAAAGGTCGTGAGGTACACTATCAAACGCCTTTGCAAAATCAAGGAAAGCAATGTGGACGCTTGAACCAGACTCCATATTATAACTCCAATCATTAATTGCTTCTATAAGTTGTGTTTCACAACTTCTTTTTTCCCGAAAACCATGTTGATTGTCACATAGTATATTATTTTCATTAAAATGTTCAATAAGACGTTTACAAATTATGCGTTCTAAGATCTTGCATGTAATGGACGTAAGAGATATAGGGCGATAATTACCCGGATCCTGTTTGTTACCCTTTTTATACAATGGACATATATTAGCTTTTTGCCAATCGGCTGGCAATACACCTGATGACAAAGACAGATTAAAAAGTTTACAAAGAGCAGGTGCCAATTGTTCTGCACCTTCTTTCAACAAACATGGGGCTAATTCATCGGGGCCTTGCGCTTTAAATAACAGTTTCCTGACCTCAGTCACCTCACGTCTCATTTGCTCAATATATACCGCTTGAAGAGGTATAAAACTTACAGGATCATGTGTACATGAAGTAATTTCCTAGTCATTAAAACTGAAATCATTCATTTACTCAGTCATGTGGCTGGCTAGCTGCCAACTTCTGTGAAGATTAGTTATAATCAAGAATTAAAAGGAAATTACCCATTAAAAACGTGAGGGTCGGGAGGCTGACAAAAACTTGGCTTCAATACCTAGTATTAAGCAATATTTCCTGACTGTTCTATTAGTAGTTGTGAATTTGTAATTAATTGTTTTGGAATGAATGACTAAAAGCTTGCATAGATTTTAATGCAATATGAAAATGGTGTGTGCATGTAGTTTTGGTGCATACATGTATTACAGGTACATGTTCATGTACAATGTACAATGTACATGTTGTAGTAGCCCAAAGTAATTATATTACAATCATGTTTGGTTAAGAGCCCTTTGTAATCTGTGGGAGTGCTATATTCATTTCTTATCAGTTTGCTACATTGTACATGTACATGCATTTTGTACATAATTGTAACCTGAATGTGCAATTTCCATTTTAAAAGATTTGCTGGTATATAGAGATTACTTGTTAGAGCCCTCTTATTTTTAGTAGTGAGCATAGAAATACACTTCCCAGTGGCTTGATCTACATCTACATGTATTTCATACACGTGTTTGCCATCCATGCACCAGTATGCTGATAACTTTTCACGGTCATTTCAAACCCCAAATGCGCCCTTATAAATAGTATCTGTTTATACAATGTACTATGTGGTGGTACCCATGTTCTGTATTGTAGTGGAGGTATCTAGATCCGTACATGTCATATTTACTTCACTTTTTAAAATGTAATTAAAATTGTCATGTTCTAATTGTATTGTCTCATGGAGGATGCTTATTGTTACATTGATTTAAAGCTCACCTCTCTCTCTGGTCCATGTACAGTAGTAGAGATCAAATTAATTAATGATAGATTAATCCCTAGTAATCCTAAAGTGGACTCTTGAACTCCCTATATAAACACAGGTACATGTACATTGTACAATACAATTTAGCCTATGTACATGTACATGTAGGCCTAAATGAAAATAAGAACGTGTATTTCAGTGAAAGTAAACCAAGAAGTGTAGGAATCTGATCAATATTAGCTCTATCCACATACCTGTACACAATTTGATACATGTAGTACATGTGAATTAAACACATAAATGTTCTGCTAGTCTACTAGTACTACACTGTACATGTACTAGTATTTTCTGCAAGTTATGACAATGAAATTGCATCATACCTGTATCAAAAATGCAATGATGTCCCTGAATGAATTTATTGACATTGTGATCTTGTGGTATCAATCATTCAGGATGTATCGTGCACCAAACAATGCCTGCAACAATACCATATATCTGTTAACCCTGTGGTATTCAATAGCAGCCTTACTACTTAGTAAACTATAACCCAGTGGTCATTGGACCGCAGACCCTTTTGATATTTTTATAATGTCTAAGCAGTTGCTTTATGAGCATACTGAATTACATGGCGTGCTGTGTCTGTGCCCCTCCATAGGCCTATATATTACATGCAAGAGATCTACATTGTAGTATGAATTAATATTGAAAGTTGCTCAGCCAGAGTTCATGCAGCTTACCGGTATTATCATCATGTACATGATTACAGTTCATCATTCATGAATCTCATTCGGCATATGAATAAACATGTACATGTGTATCTCATTTGGCATAGTTAGTTTTTTTTTTTTTTTTTTTTATTTCTCGAAGTATTAGAAATTACACATTGAAAACTTCAAATGGATGTACGATATGTAGTGATTTCTAGTGATAATGTAACAACTAACAACATTATCTTTTCATACTTTATAAGATTATCTTCCAAATACACAAAGACACACTCTACATTTCATCACATCAAATAAGAAACAATAACGTTTGATTAATAAGAGCTCTATAAAATATGCAAAATACATGAGTAGAAAGGGAAGCTAATTCTGCACACACTGCATCCATTTTCTTCTTCATTACTATAATGTATAATGTGCTTGATGCCAGGAATTTTTAAAAGGAAAATACATTTTAAGCTGTAAATTCATGGAATTGGCAACATGTTGAGAGATTCAGCACAGTTTTTATATTAAATAAAAAATCTACAATTTTTAACTTTTTGATAAAATTTCTACAGTCTCTACCACACACCAGGGACGGATCCAGGGGGAAAAAAAGTGTTGAAATCAGCCTCAAATTTGCCAAAAATGTACTGAAAAACAGGGACGTGCCCCCCGGCTAAATAAAAAATAAAACAATTATTCCTCTTCCCCCCCCCCCGCCCCGCCCCTGCATACGGTACATATTTTTTCAGAGACATAATACAGTTTATTTCAATGAGTTAATTGAGTTTATTAGTTAATTGTCGTGAATGTGAAATTGTGAATTGAAAGAAATATACTTTGCCTATTTGAAGAGCAATATGTTATCAATTTAGACCTTAAAATAAATCCTGTCTCGAAAGCGTTCAATTATAAGAAATTACACACTGTAGACCTAAATGTATAATTTTGTGAACTACACACGTACAAGATCTTGACATTTAGTTGCCTGTCTTGTGGACTGACTTGTTGCCGACATAGTATTGATAGGAGCTAATTGATCCTTGCACTGATAGATTACATAATGTACTGTGTGCACAACGTGTTTCTGGTGCAGTACATGTACAAGTGTAGATAAATACAGTTTATGTCGTACCATAGTCTTAATAGATTCAGAATTGCTCATCTACATGCACTGTATGTACTCTAGGGTCTTCACTTAAGTATGTATGTACATGAACCCTGTATGCTTTCGAATAAAAAGACACACAAGATTTTGTGAGTAATTTACCTCAGATGGAAAGCTAAAATAAAGCTGTATGGAAATTTTTTAAGAGCTCCCGGATGTTTGTGGATTTTCTTTTAAACCCAATAAAATGCATTAAATTATTGTGATCATATGTTCCTGTTGCTATTATAACAAACAAACAAACAAATTAACCTTCCGAATGTAGACTACATGTACACAAATGTAGATCAGTTATTGCCAGGCTTTCAGTGTAATTCGTTTTTGATGCTCAGTTAGGATAAGAATTTGTTAACCTAGCTGGTTGACACTGATTGTCAGTTGAAATTATGATTTGGGAAAACTGACACAGGATCATGCATGAGTTATTGAGTCATGAAATGAAAAGCACGTGATGCTGGTTGCAGTGTCAAAGTCAGCAAAAAAGCTAGTAAGCAAAGAAAACTCACATCCGTTATCGCTGATTTGAGTTAAAATGTGTAACTTTCTATACAATGACATACATGCCAACTGTTCAGATTAAAGAGGAACATTCCTCTTTTTGGGAGAAGATAATTATCATTTTAATGCAGGTGTTCCTCTTCCTGTACAAATTTGTCTGTAGTATTGAATAGGAGAGTTAGGATTGTTCCTCTTCTTTTGAAAATAGCATAATTTGTACAGATTTCTGATTTTCAAATGTTGGCATGTATGCAATGACCATGTACAGTTGTTAATTATCCAGTGCAAAAATCGTGATTGGTCCTGTAAGGTACAAAATACTAATCAGTTAAATTCTGATCATTACATACATATACACAGTGCACACGTGTGCGTTTGTAAAGGCAAAGCATGTTTACCGGTAGCCACAATCATTAGTCATTTTTACCAGGGTGAGGGTATATAAATGAAATGTACACGTAGAGGAAGTTGAACTCTGTGAGGTCATCTAGTGTTTGAGAGTCAGAGCAGGGTCAAAACAATGGCAGCCATCCAAAAATAATTGGTCTATCCTCTTTTCATGCCAGAGTCGGAGTGTCCTAGGTCAGACACCTATTATCCATGTTTAATACTGGTGTAACGTGTGTAAACATGTACAGGGTACCGGTAGCTTCTTTACGATCTCTTTTAATTCATGGTCCATTCAAAATCCACCAGGTTTGTGTTTACTATGCCGTGAAAGAGAGGCTCATTTTCATGGGCCAAAATCCAGCCAATCTGTGTGCATTTGTAGGTTCTAAACCTTTATATAGTTATGAACCAATCTTACACATGTACAATACCAGACTCCCTTTATTAGTAATTATCTTGGACAAAGATGACATTATTTACCACTCTAATTCCTCTCTCTCTCTCTCTCCCTCTTTCTCTTTCTCTCTCTCAATCTCAATAGAATTTAAAAGATGTTGTTGCCAACCAAATTCCAGAGAAGCAGGCAGAAATCAAAGAGTTCCGCAAAGAATGTGGCGCAAAGGTCATTGGTGAGATTCAAGTTGACATGGTAAGTTCCGTTTCTATTTCAAGAAGGTTTAATAAGTGTTGATAATGACAGTGAGAAGCAATCTATGACTTCACTGTTTCCGTGTCTGTGAGAGTATTACTTGATTATGAAGTTTGAAGATGGGATTAACCAAAGCAAATGAAATATACTAGAAAATTATAAATTTTCCATTTATTTATTTATTATTACATGTATGTTGTATACATGTACATGTGCAAGGAAATTCAGAAGCAAAACAAAATTATCACTTCATCATTCTAAAATGTGGCATTTCTCACTTTAAAAGTACCTTTTGACCTCTGAAATCATCATTTCTATCATTCTGTTCACAATTTTTTTTCTTTCTCCTTAAACCTTTCGATTTATCACCATTAGAGGATCTTTATCCATATATAATCATATTCTGTAAAAATGAAATGCCTTTCCAGTTATGAGTATCAATTCAGTTCACACAAGTTTTGTCTATTTTACAGCTGTATGGAGGTATGCGTGGCATGAAGGGCCTCGTCACAGAGACGTCTGTGCTAGACCCAGATGAAGGCATCCGTTTCCGTGGTTACAGCCTCCCTGAATGTCAGAAGCTCCTCCCTAAGGCTCCTGGTGGATCGGAGCCACTCCCCGAGGGTCTCTTCTGGCTCCTGGTCACGGGGGATATCCCATCAGACGCTCAGGTTTGTTAGGTGTAGCTCTGGCTTATTCTTCAGCAAAAATTGATCCAGGGGAGTGTTTCACAAAGACTAAGAATAAGATTGACTTTAAGTTGGACTTAACGATGGCAGGCCATTCATGCCACTGTTTGCTCTCACCATTTACTGGCATTGGTCTCTCAAGGGATGTACAAATCATGGTCACAAATCTACAGAGTCTACATTTTTTGATAATTCATTATTGAAGGACAAAAATTGATCTAAAGATCATAATGGTGAGAGCAACCAGTAGCATGAACGGCCTGCCATAGTTAAGTCAATTTCGTCGTTGTGAAATACCCCCCCCCCCCCCCCCCAGGTTATGTAGGTTACCCTGCAAGACTTGACACTAGCAGGCGCCCAAGACACATGAACACCCAAAATCTAAGTCCAGGACCACCCAAAATGTTGTATTTTTTTTTACTGTGGGATCATGCATACAGAGTGTAAAACGTTCAGTCCGAACCCCTTCCAAAAAAAGTTAATCTGAAGGGCTGGGTTAGGTTAGGATTATCCTTTCAAAATTGTTGTAGGTTAGCTTGGGTTATGGTTAAAAAAATATGAAAAACCAAAAACGGCTGATCTGCACATGAGCATGTGGCGCACGCCCTCTCCAATGGGAGCTTTGTTGATTTGAAATTTGTTTCAAAATATTTAGGGGTGGCAGTGCTGAAAAAGGACAGTGAGTACACTCATAAAGTTGCAGACCCTTGTTCTACTAAGTTTAAAACTGAGGCTGGCTTTAAGCTTAGTCCAAAGCCAGATTTGATCTGAAGTATAACAAATGAAATTGCCATTGTCAGTATACGTTATCCCAAAATAATGTTGCAGTTTACCACTTCAGAAGTACTCCAGCTTCATGGTTAATCAATATTATGGACAAAGTTTACATGATTTTATATGAATATGGTGTCCATTTAACGCTGGGCACTACTATGTATTCACTGCATAAAAATGTTCAACAGATAATTTCATCTTTCATGTATAGTAGAAAATCTCATACCCACAATGTACATTACATGGACACCGTCATATTTTTTTTGCCCCAATTTTATGGAATGACCCATATGTATCCTGTCTTATCAATATTTGTCTGTTTACATCCCGCAGGTAAAAGCCATCTCGAAGGAGTGGAACGAGAGAGCAGCCGTCCCTTCCCACGTCGTGCAGATGCTGAATAATTTCCCCAGCTCACTTCATCCCATGTCTCAATTCAGTGCCGCTATCTCAGCCATGAACAGTGAGAGCAAGTTTGCAGAGGCATACGCTCAGGGTGTACACAAGTCAACATACTGGGAGGTAGGTTGAAATCATGATCCGACATTTACATTTCCCAATCTTACATTAAAGGGACTTTGGTAACATTGTTCAGATGAGAAAAAATGGTGCTGAGGCAGTGACTTCAATGCTAGATGTACAATTGAAGATAATCTGAAAGTTTGAGTGAAAACAGACCATTATTAATGAACAGCAAGAGCAAGTTTGCAGAGGCATACGCTCAGTGTGTACACAAGTCAACGTACTGGGAGGTAGGTTGCGTTGGTGATCCAACATTACCCTAGCTAAAATTGCTCTGGAATTAATTTTGTCGAAGAAATGAGGTGTGCGATACGGTTTAGATTCAGGTTAAGGTTGAGATTGGGACTCAGAGTGTACACAAGTCAACGTACTGGGAGGTCGGTTGCGTTGGTGATCCGATATTTGCTCTAGTTAAAATTTGCTATGGTTTAGAGTTTGTGTTGGGAGTGGGTCTAGGGTTGAAGGTAAAAAATCAGCATGTCTACAAAATTGACCACTCAGCAATTTGCTATGGAATTATTCTCGTCAAAGATATGGGGTTTCTGTCATGGTTAGGTGTGTGAAATGGTTTTAAGTTTGGTTTAGGTTTAGGGTTCAGATTTGTATTCAGGGTGTACACAAGTCAACGTACTGGGAGATAGGTTGCGTTGGTGATCCGACATTTGCTCTAGCTAAAATTGCTCTGGAATTAATTTTGTCCAAGAAATGGGGTTCTATATCATGGTTAGATGTGCGATAGGATTTTAGGTTCGGGTTAGAGTTGAGATTGGGTTTCAGGGTGTACACAAGTCAACGTACGGGGAGGTAGGTTGCAATGGAGATCCGACATTTGCTCCCGCTAAAATTTGCTCAAACCAATCCCATGTTAACCTTACAATTAAGGTGAGATGGTCGTCAGTTTCCATGTGCAAGAGGTCATAATTCGCTGGCACCAGACTTGGTGGAAATAACATCAATGGGTGTACAAGTCTAGCACACAGCAAACCCGTTGTCCCGTCCAGAAATACCCCCTAGTCTCTCGGAGAGTCTTTGGGTGAGGAAATTGTCAGGTAATGACTTTACCATATGGGGAAGGGGTGGAAAATGCACAGGAGTATATTAGGCCTGTTGGTCATAAAACTGAAGGCTAATCTCGGTAGTTCACAACGCCTGATATTGGATAAACACCAGAATGGTGTCAAACTCCCCATGAGATCCCACTACTATCTGTCTTTAATATGAAATATGATATAAATGCTTATTATATACCTCACTTAAGAAATCCAGCCATCTGATTGGTCGAATTGCATTCATAAACTTCAACTGTTCCTGTAAAATTCCCGGTAACCATGCTTAAAACATTTCAATATTTTTAATAACCATGGTTATTAAAAAAATAGGTCAGTCTCCGTGGTTACCCCATAGGTTTACATGTTAAAAAATGGTTTGAGCGATGGAGGATACCATACGTGTGCGAAAAATTGGTCGGCAATTTCAATACAATTGAATCTCGATCGATCTTACCGACAATTTTATCTTGCATTGTTGACATGAAGACGAAAATTAACTCTCAAAAACAAAAAAACAACATCTGCCGATAGATCTTGATCTAAGTTCGTGCCAATATGCATTGCAAAAGTAAAAGAAGGGTCCGTTTCATGGAGCTTTTGCGAAGCATCCCTCACGCGGAGCCGTTTTCAATCCATTTTAATGTATATATTGGAGAAAACTGCCAAGCATGTTAACGGCGCGCGATAGCCGAGTGGTCTAAGCGTTGGTTTTCGATACACCTCTTGTTGTACGCAAGAGTTCGAATCCCGTCTTCGACAAAAATGTAAATTATTTTTTATTTTTTATTTTTTAGTCTATTTTTTTTCGGCATATAAAAGTATTAATGACTGCTTTAATATTCGAGAAATAGTTGTTTTCATACGCTCTCGGGAAGGTTACAATTGGGCTATTCCCCTCGGCAAGCCTCGGGGAATAGCACAATTCTAACCTTCCCTTGAGCGTAATAAAACAACTATTTCTCTCAAAGCAGTCATTAATACTATACTATTATAAAACCTTTATTTTTTTCACATCCATTACCCACTTCCATAATCCCACCATCAATATTCTTTCATCTAAGGTGTACCTACTGTTTTAATATGAGTGTACTATTTTTTATAACTTTTTAAACCTATTGCATTTTGTGCAGTATCCTTGTGTTATTACTTATGTAAATTGCATTCAATTCAGCCATAAGGCTGCCATGTACAATGTTTTTTATACCATAATAAATAAATAAACTTTATTCTCCATATTTCTTGTTGCTTGCAGCACACCTATGAAGATGCAATGAGCCTTATTGCCAAGCTCCCCACCGTAGCTGCTATCATCTATCGCAACATGTACAGGGATTCCTCCGTGTGCCCTATCAACATGGATCTGGACTGGTCTGGTAACTTTGCTCAGATGCTTGGCTATGACGATCCCATGTTCACAGAGCTCATGAGGCTCTACCTCACAATTCACAGGTAAGGGCCCTATTACATAAAGTTTGCCATCAATGGTAACTACCATGGAAACCTTGATTTTGATTGGCTGTTGAACCATGTTACCATGCTAGTTGCCATTGATGGCAAAGTTACCATCGATGGTAAGTTTTATTCAACAGGGCCAGGGACTAATTACCCCATGTCTCTGTTTATGATTTGTGTCTTTGCTAATGTGTGTCGCTAGTCAATTGAACCCAGGAGAGAAATGGTGACCTGCGCCCTGTCTTACAAAGAGATGAAATTAATCGCAACTTATTTGCGATTGATAAAAATCACAAATATGTACATAAGAGATAGGATATGGCAAACTTGCGATGGATAAGAGGACTTGCGATTGGTTTAGATCAATCGCATCTCTTTGTAAGACGGGGCCCTGGTAGGATGATGGAAGTCTTTTTGTAGTAATTGCAGTATGTCCACCTGTGACCTTATGGTAGGAATACTCCTCAGGGAGTGGCGATGGTGCACATTGTGCATGAATGGATCCGATGGCCGGGATGATAATATTTATAAAGCGATTAAATACGGTATTTTATATTAAATGCTACAAAGTTAGGATTATTTTTATTATTATTACCATTGCCTCATCCTCCTCAACAAAATAATATCATCTTTTTTATGTTCTCATTTCCAGTGACCACGAAGGAGGCAACGTCAGCGCACACACGGTTCATCTTGTTGGTAGTGCCCTCTCAGATCCTTACCTCTCCTTTGCTGCTGGTATGAACGGTCTTGCCGGTCCTCTCCATGGTCTCGCTAACCAGGTGAGTGCTTTAGACCTTATCAAACATTCAGGCTCCATTTCAACTTGATGTGGTGTACTGCTTTGAAATATCTATCTATTCCATTTGATTGAATGGTGTTTGTTTTTTTAAGAACAATACAAATATTCACGTTAGTAGCCAAAAGATTGCTGAGATTATACTTTACATTTTCAAAAGCATAACAATTATTGCATTAAACATTATCAATACATCTTAGTAGCTTTGGTGAATAATTTGTACACTTGATCATTAACTCTTTCAAATTCATTTGATGGCTTGCTTTCCAAGAAAAGCCTACATCAATATATACACGATAGAGTTGAAGTGAATCTGATTTTAAGGAAAGGCAGTATCCACAAGATATTTGCTAATACAGTCAAAACTGCTTTAGCGACCACCTGTAAAGAAAGACCACATGTATTGTTTCCCTTGATTATGGTTTCTCATTGAAACATATACTAAAGGAACCTGTAGATAAAGACCAGCTGTCTATACAGACCACATTTCATGTCTCTTGAGCGGTCTATACAGGTTTGACTGTAGTAGTTAGTATATGTGAAATTCGTGTTATGCATTTCCTACATGTATCTTGTGACTCATTTTGTGTTGCCATGGTGATTGTTTTCCCATGGTAGGAGGTGCTAGTATGGCTGACCAAGCTTCAAGAGGACCTTAAAGGGGAGGTCTCGGATGAGGAGTTGAAAGCATTCATCTGGGAAACACTAAAAGGAGGACAGGTAAGAATCACCTTACATGATTGGTTATGTGTGGGTTGTAGTTTAGAATCGCCTTACATGATCGGTTATGAGTGGGGCTGTAGTGTAGAATCACCTTACATGATCAGTTATGAGTGGGGCTGTAGTTTAGAATCACCTTACATGATCGGTTATGAGTGGGGCTGTAGTTTAGAGTCACCTTACATGATCGGTTAAGAGTGGGGCTGTAGTTTAGAATCACCTTACATGATTGGTTATGTGTGGGTTGTAGTTTAGAATCACCTTACATGATCGGTTATGAGTGGGGCTGTAGTGAAGAATCACCTTACATGATTGGTTATGAGTGGGGCTGTAGTTTAGAATCACCTTACATGATAGGTTATGAGTGGGGCTGTAGTTTAGAATCACCTTACATGATTGGTTATGTGTGGGGCTGTAGTTTAGAATCACCTTACATGATTGGTTATGTGTGGGGCTGTAGTTTAGAATCACCTTACATGATTGGTTATGTGTGGGGCTGTAGTTTATAAAGCTACTTACATGATCGGTTATGAGTAGGGCTGTAGTTTAGAATCACCTTACATGATTGGTTATGAGTGGGGCTGTAGTTTATAAAGCTACTTGCAAAGTGTTTTAGAGCCCATTATGATACATATGATAATGTTAACCTTTATACCACGAGTAGCCTAAATATCAGAAACAAGACAGTGGACCCCTTGTTACTACAAGGTCCTTGGGACCGAACCCAGGACCCCTGGTCAAGAGCCGGCTATAGAATTGTGTCATATGACATTTTTAGGGGATGGGGGGGGGGGGGGGGGGGGGGGGGGGGGGAGGGGGTACCCCAATAAACATGCTGAATCAGTCACCTATTAAGGTTATGTTCTGTTATGATCATATTGGGTGGTGCCAGGCTATGGACATGCTGTTCTATAGGAAGACAGATCCTCACTATGAATGCCAGCTCGTGTATTTCCACCAAAGCACCTGTCTAACGCCATAGTATCATTTCATTAATGTTACCATCTTAACTATGATCTTTTCTCAGGTTGTACCAGGCTATGGATGTGCTGTTCTTATGAAGACAGAGCTCATCATGAATTCCTACGTCAGTTTGCCCTGAAGCATCTGTCCAACACCGTAGTATTATTTTATTAATTTCACCATCATAACTATGATTTTTTTTTCTCAGGTTGTACCAGGCTATGGACATGCTGTTCTTAGGAAGACAGATCCTCGTTACGAATGTCAACGTCAGTTCGCCCTGAAGCACCTGCCAGATGACCCCATGTTCAAGCTGGTCAGTCAGCTCTACAAGCTGGTACCGGACATCCTTCTAGAGCAAGGCAAGGCCAAGAACCCATGGCCCAATGTGGATGCTCACAGCGGCGTTCTGCTTCAGGTAAGTCAATGCTGTGTGACTGGACATTTGATCTGGCAAAAAATTAAGCCTCGTTCAGATATGAAGCAGAAATCAGTGGCTAATTTTTATTTATTCATTCAATTCAAAAATGGTTTTTATTATAGCACAAACATGGTCCATACAAATACAATTTTACATGAAAGACAGCCATGGCTGGAATATTGATGTTTACATGTTATGCACAATAAATAACACTTTTAATAATATACAGGGAAAAAAACGAAACCAAGAATTATTGATGTTTTATCGTAACTTAATCATAATTAAAATTAATAAATGACACATATTTGTTAAGTTTAGATTCTTTCTTTAATTTGATGCAACTCATATAATGAATATTTCACGCATGAGTGATTATAAACAATTTGAAGAGAGGGTACCAAAAAGTCGTTTGGCAGGCGGTATCTGAATTTCAAAGAGACACCTCAATCAGGAAAAATAAGCCAGGAATAACAAAGTTCTGTCTATTTAAAGTAGTGCTTGCATTTCCATAATTTATTAAACAAATTTGTTTTCACTGGCTGCCTGCCATAGCGACAAATAGACTGAACTCTGTTTCGTTGACGATCAGCCATGCACAAAGAAGACGAAAAGACTTGATGCTAGGTGCTTTGGAAATTGCTGGTTATGCTAATAATGTGTTTACTGAAATGATTATTAATCTTCATGTTGTTCTTCTTCGCCTTTACCTTGATTACAGTACTACAAGATGACTGAGATGAACTACTACACCGTCCTATTTGGCGTCTCAAGAGCTTTGGGCACCCTTGCCTCCCTCATCTGGGACCGGGCCTTCGGTCTACCCCTGGAACGACCAAAATCAATGAGCACAGAGGGCCTCAAGAAACTTGTTGGTCGCTAAACCACATCCTCTCCCTTTCTCTTTAAAAAGCTATGCCAGTGAAACCTCTAAAAGTTGTACCCAAAATCAGGAAAGGGTTGTTGTATAGATGATCGTATAAATCTGAATAGATCTCTATTTATAGGAATATATCAGTTGAGTGAGAGTTTGGAGAATGAGACCTTTGGAGAAGAAGAAGAAGAAAAAAAACCTGTGTAACTGTTGTCAAGTATTGTTGTGAAGTTTTGGGTATTATATATATGACATGATTGTTTGTATTCACAAAGGACTTGACAGTTGAATATTAAATATGAATAATGATTTGAGTTTTATCCTTTGGATCGTTTCAGTTTTGTAGATCACCTTTGTTTTGCATTGCTGCTTTATAATATATTTCAATTTATTGCAGTTTTAGAATGAATTCTTATTAGATATATCAAAAGTTGTGAACTTGTAAGCATGTGATTTTGTTGACAAATATCAGATTTATTTTATTGCTACCATTAAATGTACCATGCAATGAAACAACCATAGACAGAGTTAAACAAATAGTATTATGCAGTGCTCTATTTTGCTTCCTTTCTCTCCTTTAAAAAAAAAAAAAAACTGGCAAGTTGGCAACCGATTTGAAATTGCTCTCAAAGGTAAACTATACTTGAAAAGCTTTAAAGAAGTCTCCAAATCTATAATTTGATAGAGCTTCTAGGCAACATATGTAAGGATACTAATCTTTCAAATGTATGAAGCACATATATCGGAAAGCTAATGTTTTCTCTTTACATCAAGATGGGCATTGTAGTAAAGCAATGTCTCATTTTAACATCGAGAACTCTTTGGACTTGGGCCAAAATCAAGTTCGTAAGTAGGGTATATGAATTTGACAAAATTATAGCTTTGACCATGACTTCATTATGCTATGCCTTTGTATGCAGGGTGATGGGTTTCTATGAACTGTTGTTTGCTTTGAGTTATGATTCATTTTATTTGAAGAGCTAGCATATGAACTGTTTTGAAATTCCATGGCAATAAGAAAGGGCTAAGCAAGTGCTTAATTGCACAAGGCAGTTCATGTCATATGGTGTTGTCTCTACCCCAGTTCAATTATGTGCTTGTGTAGCTTCTCCTATCATCTACATGTATTTACAAACTTTTCGTTTACTATTTGGCCATTTCCGCTTTCCCCTTGGCTTAACTTTGGAGAAAATGCTGTTAAGGTCTTGGTTTGGGTTTTGGTCGTCGGAATAAAGATTGCACAAGCGTTCCTCGCTGAACTGATTATTAATCTATGCAGAGACTTAAATGAAAGAATTGAAAAGAATACTGCAAACTAATTCATGGTGATTTACCCAAGTCATCTTGGATAATGAAAGAATGAAATACTGAACATTTGCGAGTTGAAGAGAGGATGTGTTTTTAAAATGTGTGTAATTTTCTTCACCACATTGTGAATGTAAAATATATTCTGAAAGAATAAAATCTATTTGACCCACTTAAATATTTGGTGTTTATTTCTGTTTACTTCACATATACTTACATGGTTTAGGGCGAGTAAATGTAGAGGTATCATGGTCTAATACATACGTCACTGGACTGTGGATCACATGGGTCACGGTTTGGGTCCTGCTGTAGCACTAATGTCCTTTGGCATGATATTCATCTACATTCGTAACACTCGATCATGGGTACTTGGCAGGAATTCAGTTTTTTGAAAATGCTAGAGCCCTTTTATGGCAGCCATGCTAAATAAATGTGGAGCGCCAGAAGTGTTGAAAATGAAAGACACAAGTGCCATACAAGAACCCACTACTATTAATATTATATTAATTTTCATATTTTCTGCACCAAACCATTTTTATAATGTGTGCTATGGAGGCCCTCCAGTTTTTCATCGGAAAGTGCAACATGAATGTGCCATAATCATTTTAGCATCAATACTTGCTAGCACATGGGATGATCAACATTCGTTGGGTTTGAGGTTTCACCATGTAGGTAGTCCTGAAAAGGAATGTTGGGATTGAAAGGGGAGAGAAGTAAAGAGAGAGAGTGAAGGAAAAGTAGTCTGGGTTTTGCCCTATGAAGGACTACCGGTAATTGATTTTGTTGAGAGAGAAGTAGAGAAAATTAGGAGAGGTGTTTTTTTGTTTGTGCGTATGTAGTCCTGAAAAGGACCGATGAACAAGGTTATGAATGCAGAGAGAGAGAGAGAGAGAGAGAGAGAGAGAGGCTCTTTACAGGTAGACTTCGTCTCCACCACACCTCGAGATAACTCTGCTACTTATTCTCCATTCAAGGTAACACACAGTGTTTGTCAAGTGTTTACAGATTATATTTATGAATGAATTATTTACATGGCTTATATCGACCAAATCAAATCAGAACTATTATTAGTTTCCTTCATAATCTGTTAGAACTTTGAAGAAGAATTTTTTTTTAAAGTTTGGGTTATTTGTAGAGCTGAACAAATCTGTTTTTCCTGAAGTTCATTAGTATTATCTTTTGATTATTCATTATTTTTCTGTTGGCTAACCCTTTAATCAGAACAAGTGAGTTTACAAACTGTACAATCCTTGAGATGATATAAATAAGCAAATTCACCCGTCATAAGAATCGCACTCTTGAACACTTGACTTTTCTTAAACAACGCTTTTGACAGATTGATCATGGGTAAATCTGAGCAATCAATATAAATATGACCTTTTCGACATTGATTTTATAAACACTTTGCATTAGCATGAATATAGAGACATTCATGATTTCACTTTTGATCCAACCCTGTAAAATCCATTCATCTCATCTTCTCTCTTTGAAACTCTTTCAGTCTGCTCGTTTTTTCTTCTCTTGTATGATCCCTCTCCCTTTGGCCCTCTAATTCCCCCTCTTTCTCTCTCTCTTTCTTCCCTCCTTTATCTCAATCTTTCTAAATATGTCTCTCTTTATTCATCTCTTCCTCTCTCTCTCTCTCTCTCTCTCTCTCTCTCTCTCTCTCTCTCTCTCTCTCATCTCTCTTCGTCTTTTTTCTTCTCTCTCTCTCTCTCTTTCAGTGACATTAAAAGAACTGTTTGAAGTTCATGAAAAAGTTACTACACCCAAATCTTCTATGGAACACCAAAAAATCCTTTTACAAATAACTGGGTAGGAAACCGGATTGTGCTTTGCTTAACTCAATGGTTCCACTAAATTGTTACACATTATATAGCACATCTACCATATATATATTTTCTTACAATAATTCACCTATTAAGAGAAGAAAACTCCAGTATAGATTCAGTTCAGTGCAATCGTTAGTACAATTCAAAATTCAGTTTAATCATCATGATCATGTGATAACTTTACATACAGAGAACTTGAACATTTCAGTACCACAAAGCTGTACATTTTAACACTGTTCTCATCAATGCATCAGCCTTGAGATACACACAAGGTTGGAAGATTATATTCTAGACATAAACCACAATAAATGATGATGGGAATACAGTTGTCGGTACTACTTGTATATAATATAAAGCACCAAACCAACACAACATAACTATCCGGTACCAAACATTTGCTTTCTTTCATATTCTTTTCCTTTCCAAATGAATACACCAGGATACAAATTATCAAGATAACTTTTCACCTTACAGAACAATGCTTTATAAAGAAATGATTACCTACATAAGATATTGCAATATGCTAAGGTAATCAGGCTTTGCCATTTTGATAAAAAATCTGGATTCTTTTGTGAATTGTAAAGAAAAAGCCAGCTAGTTTATTTATAACACTTTTCAGAAGATACAAAACATAAATTTAGCCGTTTGCAAGACAGTGGTTTATATTATGTACACTACATGTCCAAGAATTTTGTAAATAATTACAGTAATAATGAAACTTTTCATTGTGATCAGGTCCAACACCATGACATTTCAAATAATAATATGATAATATGAAAACAAATTGTAGAAAAACGACATCATCTGGGCAATAATTCATCTTCATATTTACAGGGACACCAACTTCATAAATGTGTCAAACAAACATGAGAGTTTATTCAACAGTACTCTAGCTGTGGTCGCATATATATTTGGATTTTATCCTTCTTCATCTTCTTCACTTTTCCTCATTCAGAACTCCCAGTATATCGCCTTCCCTGAAGATGAAATATTCCTGGAATACAAAAAGAATAGGACCGAAATTAACATTGAGGTACAAAAGATATAAAAAAATTGAGTCTACTATGAAATTTTAGGGTATCATTTGTTCTGCATTTATTTCAAGTTTGGGGAGAGTGTAATTGGTGATGCGGTTAATGACTTCTACCAAATCTACTTCACGACATCCCAGTAAAACACATGTTACATTTAATATCTTTGAATAGATTGTGGGCAGACTTGTACCCATAATAGTTTCATGAACCGCTGCTCAGATCTCTGTTAATTTTCATGATCCTTCCAAACAGAAAACATAATGTACACGTTTGTAACGTTCTGTTCATTTCCAATCCCCAATTCAAAACTAAGTTCAACAAAACTAGAGTCCAATTTCGAGTCCCCTGCTCAGTAAAAATGACAATTAATGTCATGACGAATTAGCAACATTTGCTCTAACACTAAATGCTAAACCTTCAGCTCTCTCATTTAAATTTACCTTCTCTTCAAATGCAACTTTGGTTCCTCCAAATTCTGGGAGAAGAACTTTATCTCCAACATCTACTGCCACTTTGTGCACTGAACCCGACTGTATGGGAAGAGAGATGACAGGATAAGATAATGAATAATTGTCGTAAAATTCTCTACTTTGTTCATTGTAGATCTTACAGCATTGACATGAAAGAGGCAGGATAAAGATAATTTTAAAACATTATCATTTTCCAAAGGAAATACATCGTACAACTGCTTTTCGTTGAGTTATTTTTTCAGCTAGAAATGATACAGGTTAATTCTTTGCAAATCAGAATACATTACCATGTGCATATCACACAGACAAATGTATTCACAGTCATATGGGCCTAGAGTAAGTTTAGAGCAGAATTTCATTGTATTTTATACCTTCAGCAATGGCATACTTGATTTTTGAAATATTTATTTTTAGAAAAGGAATCCTTTCTTTGTAGTTGTCGATGTTCATTTGCAATAAATATCCAAATAGCATAGAACCACAGTGAACCATTTTACACTGGGTTTTAAAAAAAAGTCTTCCCAATCCCATTTTCTTGAGGGGAGGGAGGAGTAGAAAAATAATTTATTTTGTTAAATTTTAGCACAGGTACAATAGAGTGGTGAAGTGTGTTGTCATCAAAAATCTATTTTGGGAATTTCTCAATTTTTTCTTCATTTTCCAAAAGAGCGTCAAAAATAATGTCCAAATGTCGAAAACCAATTGAATAAGTATTGGCTTGAGATATGACCATCTGAATAAACAGATTTCCTCTTGAGGAGAGAGTACTCTTAAGAAATTTTTAAACTTGATTCTTAAACGCGTCTGGGCAATTTTCCTGGACAAGATTTCCTTATGCCCAAGGACACTTCTCATCGTTTTTTGGAGGGCTTCCATGGGCATAGACAGTCTGCATCTTTCAATCTTGTCTTCCAACTTGAAGATTATACGAGTTACCAAAGCATTCCAAAACCATATTGATCTATGTTCTCAGATTTGGTTTGGACGGGGGTGTGCCGCTCAAGCCTCAAAACCCCTTCCCATTTTTTAAGGTCATTTGGGGGGGGGGATTTTTCTCAAAATAAAGGCCCATTTTTCACAATTTTGCAATTTTGCAAAAACAGATCCATGTTTAGAGATATTTTTGTTAAAAATGGGACCCATGTTTAGGGATTTTTGTGAAAAAGTGACCCACTGGAGCGGCACACTCCTGTATGTCCTAATATGTGAGTATCCCCCCCCCCCCCTGGATTTAATGTTCACTTCCAGGTGCCTAAAATTGCATTTATTCTTTTTATCTTACTTTCCTGTTGCATACTCACCGAGTCCCTTGATCCTGCTCCTACTGCAACAACTGTAGCTTGATTGACCTTCTGTTGTGCCTTCTCTGGAATCATGATACCTCCCTTCGTCCTCGTCTCAGGGACAACTCTTTCCACAAGAATGCGGTCAAACAAAGGCTTGAATCTCCTGAAAACAGCAGCCTGATACAATACAAAAAAGCATTTTAACAAATCAGTTCATTGATATGATACATTATATACAACATGCAATGAACAAACATGCCCCACACCATAATACAATTCAGGTTTATGATTTGGGTCACACTCACAAACAAAGTAACACTCGCACATCCCAACTCCTCCTGAGCCAGAACTTGAATTGAAATCACACGCACACAGATTTGCATGCAAGGGACTGATAAACATAAACAACTCAAAAAATCTCTAAAGAATTAAGTCAAAATACACATCAGCATCGACTTTGACTGTAATATAATATTTTTATTATTCATAGTCGCATAACATGCCCGTTCTTACCATTGTGTGTGTGTTTTTTCAGTGATCAGTAACGTTCGAGTCGTCTTCTTTCTCTTTCCAGGGCCTGGGTAACTTTCAGATTGATCACACGTGTTTTGCAATGAAAGAATAGACGTGCGCGTACGTGTGCGTTTATTTGCTTACCCCACCCCCTTTATGTAAAGCCGTCTCAAATATACCTTTTACTTGTATATAATGTGTGTATGTTGTGTTTTAAGAGAGAAAGAGAGCCCATAATACCATAACTCATACACAAAATAGAAAAAATTACATAAATATTGCCTGCTTCTGCAACAACAGGAAACATTGCATCACATCATAATTAACCCAGGGTCCCGAATATTCTAGAAACTGAACAGTCGATTCAACGCTTGTACGGAGAATATCCACATCGGTTATACTAGACTTATGGACGGCCGTTTGTTTGTTTGTTTGTTGTGTATTATCTGTATGTTTGGACAATCAAACCAGTCGCCCCCCCCCCCCCCCCGGCCAGACCCCCACCCCAAGTCCCCAACCTTTTTTCCTCTCTCTTAAAGGGAGTGTAGCTTGGCAAATATTGGTTAACGCCATCTACGTCTACTTTTGATCTTATTTTCAGTACTTTATCTAATTGTTTGCCTCTTCACTTTCAGACATGGAATTTTATTAAAGGTATTACAAAGTTTTGGGAATATTTCATCAGGATTGGATCATGAAATTTAAAATTTGCATTACTATTGTGAAATATAGTGTTAGAACACCCAACTCTAAAAAAATTGGGCTCTAAAAAGCTTTTGATTTGGAGTTATTAAAATTTTAAAAAATAAAAAAATTTACCGGTACTCCCGGTAAATTTGGTATAGCTCCCTCTCAGTTCGAAAATTTATATGTCATCTGAACAGCATAACACATACATAGCACTATTGTCAAAGTGTAATAATTAACATGTTTTGACACCCAATCATATTACCAGACTTAAACAATATATATAATCATGAAGATAATTATTTTAAAGTCGAGTTGCCTTAGTGTAAGATTTTTATACTGTCTCCTAAATTTGAAGAAAAATATACTTGTCTGTACACTGTAATCGCAATATATAATTTTATAATCGATCGGACCGTCACCATCTTTACTGTACTTACGTACGTTAATCTATGAATTTCCTGCGCGGACCGGAATATCCTGTGTTGTTCTCTTCAACTCATTTTTCCATTTCCCTCTCTTAATCGTTTCTGTGTTTTCAACTTTGAAATGCATTTGTTATTGCTCGACTTTGATAATATTGTTGTTCGCCAGCTCTGTGAACGAACGCACATATTGCCTGTATTTTGGTCAAGTCAATTGGCCGTGATGAACTGCAAAGATCTGGCATTGATCCCTGTGAATGTGTATTAGGCCTACGTATAGTACATGTTACGTGTGTACGTGTATTAGTCTATGTGTGTAGGGCCGGATTGGCCAGAAGAATTTCCGAGCACATTTTTTTTAGGGATAATCTCAAAATACTCCCCAAAGTCGTTGTACGGGGACAGTTTGGGTAATCATTTATATACAGAACGTAACATTATTTATTTTGCATTTCTTTATTAAAAATAAAGAAGATACGTTTAATCTTACAAACGAAGATAATTCAATAATAAGGTTGACGACGTTTTCCCGAACAGTCGATTATGTGTATACTGCACATTCTTATTTTGAGATCATCCCTTTGTGAGTATACGGGTACGGTACGCTTGTTTATTTAACCTAATGACCTCTGGTAGAGGTCAGTAATTGCTACACGTGTTTGGGCTAACCTCTCTCTTTCCGTATAATTGAATTATATTCTTCGCCTCCGTCTCATAACCATGCACCAACCGCATTGACCAGGTCCGTGTTATAACACTCTCACTTGATATTCTCTCTCACCCTCTCTCTGTCGCTTCTATATCCCTCTCATCTCCCCCCTCTTTTTGTATCCCTTCTCTCCTTTCTCTCTCTCTCTCTCTCTCTCTTCTCTCTCGCTATCTTTATTTCTCCCATTTTCTTTCCCTCACTCTTTATTTCGCAGTACCCCATACCATTCTACCCTTTCTCTATTTATTTCTCTTTTGATGTATATTGTATATAATCTGTCTCTCTCTCTCTCTCTCTCCCTCTCATCGCATCACCTCGTTTATCCCTTTCTACATATTTCTATATCCATATCACTTGTTAGTCTCTCTCTCTGTCGGTCTGTGACCGTCTGTCTGATGACTGTCTCTCTTTCTTTATCCACACACCTCTCTCTCTCTTTCTTTCGCTCCAACTTTGTCTCTCTCTCTCTAGAAGTTCTCATTCGAGTGATATAGGACCATTTTTTTTTTTAGGGTTATGTAGATGAGGATGATATAAATATGACAAATATAATAGTAATCACAATAACGAGAGAACTTCTCATTCACGTAATAGGACAGTAGTTTTTGGTTGGAGTTTATGACAAGAATAATAATAATCATAAAGACGATAGAAGTTCTCATTCGCGTGATAGGACTTATGTCGGGGTAATGTAAATGAGGGTAATATAATTATGACAAAGATAATAATTATAACAAAAGCAAGAGAAGTTCTCATTCACGTGATAGGACAGTAGTTTTTGGTTGGAGTTTATGACAAGAATAATAATACGTCACAAAGACGATAGAAGTTGTCATTCGCGTGATAGGACCATATTTCTTTTGTCGGGGTTATGTAAATAAGGGTAATATAATTATGACAAAGATAATAATTATCACAAATGCGAGAGAAGTTCTCTTTCATGTGATAGGACAGTAGTTTTTGGTTGGATTTTATGACAAGAATAATAATAATCACAAAAACGATAGAAGTTGTCATTTGCGTGATAGGACCATATTTCTTTTGTTGGGTTATTCAAAATGAGGGAGATATATGACAAAGTTAATAATTATCACAAAAACGAGAGAAGCTCTCATTCACGTGATAGGACAGTAGTTTTGGGGTGGGTTATGACAACAATAATAACTAGAAATGCAACCGTGTCACAACGATGTGCGTGCAATGACGCCGTGTTTCTACGTGTCGAACGAAAGAGCTTCTCTCGGACTATCCAGAGCAATTTGTACGAAGTCTTTAGCTTCTGTAATATTGGAGACAGGTAGGGCGAAAGAAAGTCCTCAATAGTGACCTTGATGGGATGGTAGTGACTATGCCTACGCTGTTTGAAAGAAATTGGGATAGGGGAAAGAACCTAGAAAGGGCTCGCAAGCACTGCGTGCAAAAACAAATGGGATTAGTTGCATGTTCGTCATTGCAATCAAGATCGTTCTAGGGGTCAAAAGCGTGAACCCGATTTGCCCCATAGACAATGCGTGTAATGCATGGGCGGAAAACGTAGAGGATCTGTATTATGACCGGAGTTAAATTGTTTTTTCTCTCTCTCTTTATGTCTCTTTATGGGCCGTATATGGTATCATTGGAAAGAAAATTTCATGGTCGTTATTGTAAACTACTCTTTTTTTTTCTATGATAATCCTATCGAAACATGTGATGTAAAATAGATTTAAAGGACAAAATGGCGTCTTAAATGGCCCCCTTGACCAATTTTAAAAATCCGGCCACGAGGTGCCCTGCGTATTGCATCTCGGAATGTCATTGCAAATTTTCAAGGAAAAAAAAGGATGTTTAGGGGGCGAAAAGTAGTCTGAAAAAAATGACGTCATGGCCGATAAGTGTTATAATCGGGCGGAATTCGTATAGTGACCCTTGTTCAAATGTGATTTACTCACAATTTTCTGTGTAAACATATACCATACTTGGTATCATTCGAAAGGGCACTTCATTGCAGTCAGTTTGACACCATTGTCATCTGCACGCAATGTACTGCACGCATTAAAGGCGCTATTACGTAATGCATAGCAAATTCATCATTTTTGGCGATAACGTTGCGGTGACGTTATTAAAATTTCCCAAATTTAGGAGAAAGTTGTCACGTATATGGATACATGTGTCTGCCAAGTTTCAACGACGTAGGTATAACGATCGCCATTTTAGAGCAAGTTGAAGTTATTTCGGAATTTTCTTGAAAATGGCGAATTTGGAGGGCAATTTTCTCAAATTTGGTCAGTGATAGGGTACATAATTTTGTATATGGCTGGAAAGGGCATATCTTCAAGTATCTAAATCCAAAAAAGGGTACGGGTTTGCCAAGCCATTTTGGAGATACGGCCACAGAGAGAAAGCCAATTCCCAGAACTTTAGAGGGCGCTATTTATGTTTTGCAAAGCCATTGGAGCGTAAAATGTGGCATGGAAATGTGCAATTATGAAATAAAGATACTGCGAGAAGATGAGACGGAACGAAATTGGTTAAAGAAAGTTATTGCAATTTTTAGATTTGTAGGGGTCCATTTTTCAAGAATTTGAGAGATTGTTGACGGAGTCGGTTTCAGATTTAAATTTCGACTATGAAGATGGCATTTTGAAGGAAAGGTTATACGTCGCAGATTAAAGAACATCTCTTAGACTATCTAGAGAAATTTATTAGAAGTTTGTAGGATCTAGGATAATGGAGATAGGAAGGAAGATAGAAAGGCCTTAAAATGGACCAGAAACGGACAAAATGGCGCCTGGACGTTTACGCATGAGTGATTTCAGAAAACGAAAAAGTAGGTGACCTAGATTGGATATCAGAGATTACGCCTACGAAGTTTGAAAGGAATCGAGCAAGAGGAAAGGACCTGGATAGGAATAACAAGCACTACGTGCAAAGCGAATGTGATTCCGGACGACAACAAGAAGAAGTAAGCATATTAATAATGTGAACGAAAACAAGGCAATGACGAAGGTCGTCATTGCAAATATTAATGGGGCAGAATGTGAACGAAAACAAGGCAATGACGAAGGTTCGTCATTGCAAATATTAATGGGGCAGAATGTGAACGAAAACAAGGCAATGACGAAGGTTCGTCATTGCAACTAGAAATGCAATCGTGTCGGAACGATGTGCGTGCAATGACGCCGTGTTTCTACGAAAGAGCTTCTCTCGGACTATCCAGAGCAATTTGCACGAAGTCTGTAGCTTCTGTGATATTGGAGATAGGTAGGGCGAAAGAAAGGCATCAACAGTGACCTTCATGGGATGGTAGTGACTATGCCTACGAAGTTTGAAAGA